CAGCCAATAGTATATGTCAGGAAAGTCAAGGGGACAAGTTAGTCTAAATAGCTAGTTCAGAGATTTAATCTGTATGCAGGTATGACTTTCTCTGTTGAGTAAAAAAAAATAGAGAGAAAGTAGAATTCCTATAGAAAAACAGAGTGGTAGCACCAGTTAGGGTCCTAGTTATGGGCAAATAGTGACCCCCCCCCAAACTGAGGTCAAAACACTATGAAAGTATAAAAATACATTTTTGTAGTAAGAAAAATTATCATCAATACATTATTGGAAAAGGAAGAGAAAAATTACCAGCAGTGCATTTTTGGAAAAAAAAAAATTAACAGAGTTTCCCCCAAAATTAAATTTCGGCATTAAATGACCCATAAGGAGTTGATATACCATAAACCAAACCAAACCTATTGAAAAGATAAATACTTTATTTTACAGTATCTTTATTTCTTTATATAAACAATTATCAAGCAAAGAGAGTCATTTTCAATTGTATGGTAGATTTTTTTCTTTTTTTTTTTTTAATAAAATAGTTTTTACATCCTTTTACAAAATTAAAGTGTAATTATAGATGACAATCTCCACTTATATTCTATTTCCTCTTTCTTTCTTTTCTCTTCACCATATCACTGGGAAATACAATGTGTCATTAACCTTTCGTACTCTACATTATTAATATTACTTCCTTTTCCACTGCATTATTTTTTTAAAACTTTCTGCACAGCAAATGAAGTTACATACAGCATGATTAATGTTAAATTCTGTCATTATATTCAACTTTTCTTTTTCTATCTCTCTCTCTCTCTCTCTTGCCAGAATTGTTTTCCTTTCTTTCTTTCTGCCTCATACTATTTGCCTCTCTTTTCTTCTTGCACCTGGCGCATAGACTTCTTTTATATGCCATGTCTCTTCAGGATCGTAGCCCTCCACATCTTCTTGATCCTAGTAGTTCCTAATATATTTTGTCTTTTTGTTATTTCTCTCAAACCCAGTTCAGCCATCCACTTGCTTAAGCCCATTAAGTATGTCACACATTGCTTTCCCTTGTCCCTCTTACAATCTATCTGCTCCATGAGTATCAAATTTTCCAAGCCCTCCTTCCTTATTATGTGCCCCAGAAATATCAACTGCCTCTTCCTGATTGCCGTTTGTTTCCATATTCTCTAAAACTATGTCATTGCTCACATGTTCGGTCCATGGTATTCTCAGCATCTTTCTGTAGAACCACAATTCTGTTGCTTCAGATCTCTTCTTCATCTCTAAGGAGATTGTCCAGCATTCACTACCAGATAGGAGGGCAGATATTACATTACAGTTCAGCACTCTTTTCTTTATACTCAGGAAGTTTTTACACCCACATTCTTCTTTAGGCCATTCTGACAGTGATTAATCTTGAAAGAATCTCCTTACCTACCACCATCAACAACAACAACAACACCATTTGACCCTTATATACAAAGGGCAATACGCATGGTAGATATTTTGAATGTGGGTCATAGATTTCCTGCAGCACAATTTCTTGTTCCAGAACTAAAAATTCAATGGCAGTGAGATGTTGTGAGTTTCCCGCGTGTCGGTGTATGAATCAAGACAAACACAGTTGTAGAGGAAAATACTGGTATATTCATAAAAGCAATTAACAATAGAGTGATTAGTAGAACGAAGGTTGGTTAGTACGAAACAATATCCAAAGTCTATAGTCCAACGGTATGTACCGGGTAAGCTTATCTGGACTGCTAACGCTGACGCTCTGTCACTCTCTCTCCAGAGCTGACTTATATAAGAGGGACCAGTCCATTACTAGTTAGAAGGTGGGTGCGCCCCAACAGGCAGCAAAAGATTTCCAATCCTGATTTTTATTGATCATCATTATCATTCAGTCATCTTTTTTTTTATTATTCCTTTGGAAATGTAAATGTCAAGAAAATACTGAGAGCGAAAAAACAATAAAATTTTGTGAAAACAGATATATAAGCAATATATTATAATGAATTTTTTTTTCCAGACTCTATCGTACATATCTATAAGTCTACTATTCATCCATACTTAGAATATTGCTGCCACATATGGTCTGGTACCCCTATTTACCTTAAGCTCCTTGATAAAATCCAAAGAAGAATCAGCAATATTATCAGTTCTGATCTAGCAGCTCAGCTTCAGTCTCTTTCCCATCACCATAAGGTTGCCTCCCTTTACCTTTTCTATAAATATGTTCATGATAATTGTTCGGATGAGCTCTTCGCTATGATACCAACACTTTTTGAATTTAAGCGTAGTACTAGACTGGCATCAAGATCTCATCAACCTACAGTTGAGTGAGCTAGATGTAGCCGTAAATTCTATGCTAACAATTTTTTATCTCACACTTCTCACTTGTGGAATTCCCTTTCAGCTCCATGCTTTCTAGCCAACTTTAATCTGCAAAAATTTAAACGCAATGTCAGTCGCTATCTACTGTCCTCTTGATTTACTCTTTTCTCTTTCTACACATTATTAATGTCTCTGTTCCTAATTCTTCCACACCCTATAACCTCTTGTGTCTTAGTGGCTTTACTACCTTAATGGGGTGTACCGATTAAAAAAATAATAATAATTTGGAATTTCTGTGAGATATTCAAGCCCAAAATCTTTGGAACATCCCTTGTACAGATATTTTTATATGTATTTATTGTATAAATTCTGTTTATTGAAATATATTCATATCTTTATTTAAGGTTGTTCATATCTATCTTGGTCTGTTCACACCTATATCTCGGTATATTCATATCTGCCTCTTTATCTCAGTCTGTGGCTTTCTTTCTATCTTGGTCTATTCATACCTACCTATATATACCTGTCGCAAATTTCGCCATGCATGACATGCTAGATAAAATGCTAATCATTGTGCAGCATTCCTAAAAAGAAAAATGTATCTTCATATCTATCTATCTATCTATCTATCTATCGCAGTCTTTTCACAGCTGTCTATCTATCCGTCTTATTTTTTCACCTCTTTCTATTTCGGTCTGTTCATGTTTATATATGTCTCAGTCTGATCATGTCTATCCAGTGGCAGAATGGGTCATTAATTTCTACCAGTGAAAACTTGTAAAAGGGCTCAGTCAAAATCCTAATCTTTATCCTAAAACAAGGAACTGGGGATATCTATTATCTACTGAAAGAAATCATAGCATCAAAGAAGCCTTATTTAAATCTTCCCAGGTTCTATGCAATATCTTTCTTTTTTTCCTGTTTTTTTTTTTTTACTTTTTCAGTTATTTCTAAAGTGATGGACCATTTCTCCTGGTACCCTGGTGAGCCAGTCCACCACTGTGTCTATCTCTATGCCTCAGTCTGATCACACACCTTTTTTAAGTTCTTGTGAATAGAGTTCACATTGTTTTCTTAGTTTCTCTTTAACTGTGTCTTTAACATGACAAAGAAAGGAGCTCTAAGCACATAGCAGATCCTGTTGTGGCAGTGAAGAGGAAGAATGTTTGGGTGTTCTTTTATTATTATAGTCTATTACCTGTTGCTTACAGTTGAAAAGATGTCAATTCCTTAGAAATTTCAAGAAAACATGATGCCAGCAAATAACTGTTCATGGATTCTATGTTAATCATTATGCTTTTTATAACATGTGTGCTTATTTTGATCATATATTATACACAATTACCTATCTTGGCTTGTTTGTATCTGTCTGTCCATCTTGGCACATTCATATTTGCCTTTTTGGAAGTTTATATGTCTATCCATCTCAGCCTGTTCATATCTTCTGTTCCTTTCCCATGAACGCAGGTGTTCCGCAAGGCTCTATCCTAGGCCCTACGCTGTTCCTTATCTTCATTAACGATCTCCCCGATGTCATCAATTCCCAAGTAGGCATCTATGCTGACAACACTACTATTTACTCCTGCCTCAGTGGCAAATCTGGTATCGCTGACAAAACTAACCTGGCTGTTAGTCTCAAAAAGACCACCAATTTGTTGTAGACTGGGGTAGGAATTAGCTGGTTAATTTTAATGCCTATAAAACAAAACTGCTCTCTATTACTTACCACAGGAAACCCTCCCTGCCACCCATTAGAATGTCTGATGCTCAACTCCACGAGAGCACCTCTTTGTGACTGCTTGGTCTCACACTGTCCGCTGACCTGAGATGGAACAATTACATTGAATCAATAGCTACATCCACCGCAAGGAAAGTTGGTTTCCTGTGTCGCGCCAAAAAGTTTTTCTCACCTGAGTCTATCCTTCAAATCTACAAATCAACCATTCGCCCTTGTATGGAATACTGCTGCTATATATGGTCTGGTACACCCGCTGTTTGCCTTAAGGTCCTCAACAGGATCCAGAGACAGATAAGCAATGTGGTTGGTCCTGATCTGGCATCTCATCTTCAGTCGCTCTCTCATGGATGTACTGTCGCCTCCCTCTGTTTTTTCTACAAATACTTTCACAGTAACTGCTCCGACGAGCTACTATTGCTAGTGCCCAGACTGCATGAATTTAAGTGTGCTACTAGGCTGGCATCATGGTCCCACCCTTTCACTGTTGAAACGGTTAAATGTAGCTGTCTCTTCTACTCCAGTAGCTTCATGTCTCGCACCTCCCTTCCTATTACTTGTTTCCCTGATAGCTATAATCTCCATCTATTCAAATGTAATGTCAATCGACATCTGCAGATGCCCTGAACTATCCCCTGCCCGTCTCTTCATCCTTTCCTCCATCACACCTCTTTACTCTCGCTCCCACTCTGTAACCCCCTGCGTATTAGTGGCATCCTGCCTTGCTTGGGGTAAAATGCTTAAAAAAAATAAAATCTATCTATTGACCTATCTATCTTTATTCTTTAACATTTGATAGCCACACCTTTTTTCTATACACCATGGCTACAACAGTGTTGAAGACTGTTACTATTACAATGCCATCAGGATGTACTAAACATTGCTTTTTCTTTTTAGAATCTTTCATTTATGCATTATGAAATTGTAATGTGAACTTATATTCCCACTTTTTTTATCAATATAGAGGCAAAGAATCCAAATTGGATCAAGAACGCAAAGAATATGAAGACCTTAAGAGAAAATTAGGCCAGAAAATATTGAAAGCAGAAGAATCTTTTGAACTGCAGAAAAGGGAACTGTCTATTAGTGAGTAACACTTCTCACTTCTCATCTGTTAGTGAGTAACACTTCTAATTTTCTATGTGCCGTGTCCCTTTAGAATGTGGGCGATCATGGCTCTCCACAATTTCCCATCTTTTGTAGCTTTTAGTAAATTTTGTTTTTTCGTTATCTCTCCTAATCCCTGTTCTACCATCCATTTACACAAGGCGATTAGGTAGGTTATACACTGCTTCCCTCTGTTCCACCAGGATATCATGTGAGTGTCAAATTTTCTAAGCCCCCTTTACTCATTATATGCCCTAGAAATTTCAGTTTTCTCTTTCTGTTACTAAGTATAAGAGTGTCCTTCAAAAAACAGTCCTTATGTATACAAGACTGGAGTTATACAGAACCTTGTTCTTTACTGCACCAAACAAATTTCAAATGACCTCTTGATTTGGAGGGGGTGCAATTTACCTGTAACCACCCTCCCTACATACCTTCAGTGGGTATGCACTTTAGTTAGTTTAATGCTGGATTTAATTACAGTTAATTTAGTGTTTTGGGAGACTTCTGACTTATTTATGTGATTTGAAAGTGTAAATGAATATGGGAGTTAAAAACATGGAAAATGAATGGAGTTTAAATTTCTAAGCATGGCCAGGCTTACAGCCATATCACCTTGAAACATTAGTTCCTGTATGATCACCAAAGCTAAGCAACATCGAGCCTGGTTAGTACCTAGATGGGTGACTGCTTAGGAAACCAGGTGCTGTAAAGTGTAATGGATAATGGCTCAAAATTGTTAATTGGAGAGCCAAGTTCCAATTCCAATTAGGCTCATTATATTCACTTATACTTGGAATAGTATGAATCCACGTCTTATATCCCTAGCTATGGGTTAACTAGTAAGAATTGTATCACTAAATTATTATTATCTGAAAAAGAAATTCTTACAATTCTTTAAATAACCTGCAAAGGGATGATAAGCCATAAAAAATGAATCAATCAACAGTTATGACTGCCAATGTCACTTTTGCATTCATGCCCTTGAAAAAGACATGAATTCAATTTTTTTTGTGCATTATCTCATTGCATAGTATTGTCCTACAATAATAGACATACAAAAATTCACTCCTTATAATTAACTACCTAAACAATAATAGAAAAATAACTGTTCTATCCATTGTCAGCTTTGACAGAGGCCACTGTTGATTGTGAAAAAATTGTTAAATTTATTCACTAAGATATAAAGGTTTGTTTACAAATTAAGGCAAGAATGAGGTTTTCACAGTATATTTTACCAATTATTAGTAATTCTAGTATGATCAGTTTATTACTTAATACCAATAGAAAACCGATCCCCCATTTTATGTCCAGTAGAATCCATTCCATAAAAAGTGTATTTTTGCTATGCTTTCATTATTTTTATTAGGTTTTCATGTGAGTCTTTAATTATATATTTTGTATTAATATGTAATAATTCTTTTGGGGGTTCAATACTAGTTCCCCCCACCTGTCATAATAATGACAGAATGTATTTTTAAGTCCTTGCTATTATTAGGTTTTCATTTGAAAATCTTTAAAGATATTTTTTTAATTATTACATTATGTATTAATACTGAAGGGATCAGTTTCAGGATCCCCCCCATTTAAGACCCACTAGAATTGTATATAAAATTAGTTTAATCATTCTGTCACTATTATTAGAAAGTTTTCACAATATACATTTGTAATTATTACATTATGTATTAATATTGGAGGATCAGTTTATTACTTAATAATAGGAAACCGATCGGCCATCTTATAATTAATACTAGTTTACCCATGCCATAAAAAATAACAGTCTATTTTGTTAACTCCTTACTATTATTAGGTACTGTATATTTCCATTTATAAGGCAACCTTTAAATCTTAAAAATTACCTCCCCCCACCTCAATAGGGGTTCGTTTAATACACGAGTTACAAAAAATCTAACCTTAAATCCTCTGGTGTATCAACACAGGTAAGTAGGTTAGTATAGTAACTACCGATGTAAATATTTCTACTTGAAACCATTCACATCATAATTATAGTTATAAATGTAATAAAGCTACTTTTATTTCCTGATTTCTCATTAAAATGCAATATTCAAGAGACGATTACAGAACAATTTGCAAAAGTTCCGCTGAGCAACACGCACAAGTAACAAGTAACGTAAACAAATCTTCTGTTCTTGATTTATAGAGCTATGGGTGCATTCACATCAATCATTATTTCTCATCGTATTGTTCAATAATAACATTTAGGATAACATACAATCTAAATTCTTAATTAAAATCCATTATCATTTTGGTATTAAATAACAGCAATTAGTATAACAAAAAAACTTTTTTTTTCAATAACGTGCATTATGTTTTTTTTGTGATGTTAAGCAACAAAACTTTTAAGATGCCATAAAATCTTTACTTCTCATTACAAAATAAAAAACTAAGGCACCCACACACAGAATTAAAACCCTTCAAAATTACTATGATCATCACCGTCTGATGTAAACAGGTCATCATAAACATTGTCATTTACAGTTTTGTTATATGAGTCTCAGGGAGTCATTTTATACTCTGGATATCAAATAAAATTACAAAAATTTACTTAGATTTGGGGTCTTGTCTTATCTAGAGGTTACCCTATATGTAGAAATATTCAGTACTTCCATGCGAAACTATAAATATATTTTTCCAATTATTATATTACTATGTTTTAATTCTTGATGTCGGGCAGTTGATTACTTATTAACAATAGAAAACTGATCCCATACTTTATATCCAGTAGAATCTTAATATGAGTTTATCTATGCCATCGAAAATGAGGTCAGATTCCTTAATATTATTAGGTTTTCATGTTCTATGTTTAGGATGTTGGTGATCATGGCTCTCCATTATTTCCTATCCTTTGCAGCTCTTAGTAAATTTTGTCTTTTTCTTATAAACCTGTACTGCTGTCCATTTACAATAGCTTGTGAGGTAACTTATGTTCTTTTTTACTCTGTCTCTATTATCTTCAATATATCCTGCGAGTGTCAAATTTTCCAAGCCCTCTTTTCTTATTTTTATTAAAATTTCAAGTATCTCTTTCTGAAGTTAAGTATAAGTGTTCTTTTTGTTTCCATTTTCTCTAAAACTTTGTTCCATCCACGGTATTCTCAGCATCCTCTTGTAAAACCACATTTCAATTGCCTCAGTTTTCTTCATCTTTGAGGAGATTTTCCAGCACCCACTGTTATATGGGGGGGGACTGATATTACATCATAGTTCAGTATTCTCTTCTTTGTTTCTAATGATAATTTCCTGCAAGTCTTTAAATATATAGATCAGTGTTTTTGAACTGGTTTACCCAGGTGCACTAATACACCCTGAAAGTTAATAGAAGAGTCATTTATAAATTATTTTTATATTTAAAATATCCTGGCTTCATGGATTCCATGTCTAATTCAAGTCTTTGTTATTTGATATTTTAAACTGGATGCTAAATTCCTTAATCTTTAAGGGGTGGATAATCCTTTCCCTTTTGCCTTCCCCAAAGGATTTAAATCAGCTTCTCTAAAAAAGAAAAGATTCTTCATAAATCCTTTTAAACAAAAACTGTACTGCTAATCTTCTTTGGGAATGCTAAACCAAAATTTTATATTTTCAAATTTCATGGCTAATCTTTCCTTATTAAAATTTATGCACCCCAGAGATTTAGTTATTCTACAAGTGCACCCTGAAGTAAAAAAAATTTTGAGAAACACTGATATTTTTTTTTACTATAATGTTCACCCTGTAAAATGCCCAAGAGCCACTTGAGGTAGAGGATTACAGAGTAAGGAGAACCACTCCAAGCAAAGTGATAATGCCACCAAGTGGCAAGTGGCCACTGGAAGTGAAAGAGAAGGAAAAGACTTTAGAAGGAATTGGAAACCAAATCCTGTTCAAAAGATTGAGGAGGAGCCTGAACAGGATGATAGGTGAACCTATCTATTCTTATTGATGCAAAAATGAGAGAAAAGAAAAAAAATGTCTTAAGCATGTAAAAGTGATGAAACTGAATTAAATGCAAAAAATAAATTTAGAGTTATAAATATATTAGCAATATCTTTTGTTACATACACTTTCACTAATCTCTCTCTAATGTTAAGTATAAGCGTACTTTCTGTTTTCATTTTCCTTAATATGAAGAACATGGATAACAACAAAATTTTAAGGAAAATGAAAAAAAAAGGACACTTATACTTAACATTAGAGAGAGATAGTTGAAATTTTTAGGCACATAATGAGGAAAGAAAGCTCAGAAAATTTGACACTCACAAGACATTGAAGGCAAAAAGAACATGAGAAAACAGTGAATAACCTACCTAATGAGCTTGTGTAAATGGTTGCCAAAACAGGATTTAGGAGAGATAGTAAAAAAAAAAAAAAAACTTTACTAAAGACAGGAAACTGTGGAGATCCACGTTCGCCTTGTCTTGAAGGGACATGGCACATAGAAGAATGAAGAATTGGCAGAATGATTAGAAAACTCTTATGTATAACATACACTACCCCAAAGCAGATACAGATTGTGTGTACCTGTTTAGGGCAGATTGAGATAGAGGACTCACCCAACTAAACTTGACATACAAGATTACAACCATAGGTCTTGAAAGTTATCTTGAATTAATCAATGATTAGATGCTAAGATTTGTTTACCAACATGAATTCAACAAATGTTAGATTCAATTATGAAAGAAAACCAAAAATTCAAGTATATATAACTATTTTAGAAAAATCTATGGAAAAAGTTTTTGTACAATCTGTTTCGTCATTTAGGACTTCATCAGAATAAAGTGATATTTACATTTATATGTCTACATATAAACATGAAGGAGAGGAAATACAGAAGTTTTAAATTTAAATTTTTTAAAAAATTTGTTTTAGTTTTATAGTCTAGCCAATTTTATTTAGTTTCTTTTTCTTTATGTTTTATATCTAAAGGACGAAATGCATCATGCGAAAACTTTTTCCACTTTGTCATAGATTTTTCCTTAAATTATTCTTGATATATAAAAATGTATATTTCGCCATATACAATGATACAAACATGATGAAAAGAGATAAAATAACAAAAGTAGGGTCTAAAAACAAATAAAACACAAAGAATATTGTCTAACCAAAAAACCAAAAGGAAAGAAAACCTCCGATGTGATTGATGCTCATTGTGAGCACATGTATATGATAAATGTGAATGTCAGTGTGTCACTGTGTCATACGTTTTCAACTTTACTCCTAGAAGCTATAGCCTAACATATCATACCATTTTGGAATCAAGCCAACTCTGTAAATTAAAAAGATTCTGTGCTGGATCTGAATCTGCAATCCTGAAATTTTGAATTCCGAAGTTTTCATTACTTTTATTGTTTTTGGCAATTTTTTTCCACCAAATTTTTTGTATGATAACAAATTTTTATAATTTGGAAATAAATTTGGGAATAATTGAAATTAACTGCGGAATCCAGCAAAAGTCACTCATGAAATAAAAATAATTGTTTGTACAGAAAATAAGGACCTACGTACATCAAATTGTCTTTAAATTAAGTGGCGGCAGAAGAATTATTGTTCAACTTTTAAATGGTAAGCATAAATATTAATGTAATACTTAAATGCAGCAATCAATTTCGAGTTCTTGTGTAGTTTATTGCTGCTTATCGCATCTACTTCTCCCTACCTATTGTGATGGAAGTGCAATCAAGAGCCCTCCACAGGAGCTAGCTTAAATCCTGTCTGATAGGGCGACATTTAAGCTAGTTACAAATAATTTACAGATACATTTATTTTACATTATTAATAGAGATTACAGATGTTTTCACAATAGATCATGATTGCCAGGTAATGAATTGAGTTCCATTTGAAAGCCTGGTCTTATTAAACTCTGAATTTTTAAATTTTCTTGATTTTTCTATGATATCTAATTTTGAATGCATTTCTAGTTCATAATTAATTTGTAATGCATTTCTATAGTAAATAATTATTAATTTGTAATGCATTTCTATAGTAAATAATTATTAATTTGTAATATATTTCTATAGTAAATAATTATTAATTTGTAATACATTTCTATAAAAAATAATTTATATTGGAATCTATTTACAATGTATGTTATTACCAATTTATTTCTATTGTAAATTGACTGCAATCCATTTCTACCTCTAACAAAAAATGAAGACAAACGTTGTTTCTTCAATGTTTTTTAAAAGGCAAAAAATGTGGCAATTTTCAGGTTTTGATGATGCTTTAAAGAAGAGAGAACACGAATTTCGTCTCAAAATGGATGAAATGAATAATGCTCTGAAAGCAGAACAAATAAAGGTTGGTGTTTATATTTTGGTATTGCTGTTAAGAATTTTATTTGTTTTACTTGTATATATATATATATAAAAAAAAAGATTGGTTGCTTTAAATTTTTACTATTATCCCTGAAAATCAGTTTTTCTCTGTCAAATCAAGATGTTGCATACAATATTAATGCGATGTGATTGGGGGTCAGTGTGCTACATTACTTGAACTTATCTTCTTTCTCACCTACCGAGGACCTGGAGAAAAACAAGAGAGAAACTGCCAAGCAGAGAAATGGGGCATTTATTAGGTGAAGGCCGGAAACATGATGTATTGTGGTTGGTTTGAGGAATTGTTGAAGAATAAAAAGAATAAAGTGCTTCGTTTGTCTCCCCCTGCCTGTCTATGCGGATTGAGCAAGTGGAAGAAGAGAGTGGTAACAGGATCGAACACTGCCTTTGAATCAGTAAATAAATGTATTATTATTTTACTTTTTCTTCTTTCTTTTCAACTATTTTTTCTTTCTTCTCTCTCCTCCTTTTTCCTTCAAAAAAGCAACAGTTTTTCAACACAAAAACATGATGACTGCATTAGTCATTGGAAGCAAACTGGCTGCAAACAGAATTGAGGGTAAGACAAGCATCTGTCTATAGTGGCGTGGGCCTTAGAGGTTAAAATGAACAGTTTATTTACCCATGCCAAGAAGAGAGATAGTTTGAAATACTTAGCTTTCTTGGATTGTTGAGAGAAAATTCTTTGAAGTGCTGCATGTGGGTTAGAGGCCGATAAAATAATTGGTGCGTAATTTTACATTATTGAGTACTTCAACAATGTTTGCAAGTAACTGAAACAAAACTTTTCACATGACTTCAAACACTCTTCTGATTGATTTAATTTTTCTTCTCATTTTATATCAAAAAGAATTTTGGGTAGGCTTACAAATTTCTTTTCTTCTTCTTCCTCAGTCCTCCGAATTTGAAGGGAATAGGTGAAGGCAGTTATTATTATTTTGCACTTACTACAATGGACTTATTTAATGGATTTATTTAACCTTTACAGTGAGGTGATCCTGAGAGAATTAGAAGTTCTATCACAATCAATGGCTCAATCTAAACAACATGAGATATGAAGCTGACACAGTGTTAATAACAGATATAGAAAGGAAACTGAAGGATCTAATACCATACATAGTGAAGGAAAGCATGAAGAAAGGACTAAAGATCAGTTATAAGAAGACAGAATGTCTGGCTGTCAGCAAAAGGAACAGCCAAAGATGCAATCTATGAATTCGAGAGATGAAAGTCAAGCAATTACAAAAATTTAAACTTCTAGGAAGTGTTTTAACAGATAATGAAAAATATGACACTAAAGTCCAAAGGTGCATTGGAAAAGATGTCTTCAAAAAGCTAAGCAAGATATTAAGAAACAGGAAAATTTTATTAGAAACAAAAAAAAAGAGTGCTGAACTGTTATGCAATATCAGTCCTTCTATATGGCAGTGAATACTAGACAATCTCTTCACAGATGAAGAAGATACTTGTGGCAACAGAAATGTGGTGTTACAGAAGGATGCTGAGAATACCATGGACTGAATGTGATTAATGAAGAAATTTTAAAGAAAGTGAAAACAAAAGGGAGACTTAGAATCAGAAACAACTGAACTTTCTAGGACACATAATAAGGACAAAGGGCTTGGAGAATTTGGCACTCACAGGACATATTGAAGGTAAGAGGGACAGCAGAAAGCTGCACATAACCTACCTAACAAGTTTGTGTAAATGTTTGGCAGAGCAGGGATTTGAAAAGATAAGAAACCGACAGAGCTACAACAAACAGAAATTTGTGGAGAGCCATGATCGCCCATTTTGATGGTGCTTGTATTCAGGTTAATTAGATGGTGAATCAGGAAAGTGCTGACTGGCTTAACTGTTGAGGGTCAGAAAGTGTTGCTGAACTGATTTGACAGTTTGTTAAACATTTTGGATAGAACTTCATATAAATAAGTTGGCCTTTGGGGAATTTTGTTTGGTTCTGATTCTTTTTCCAATATTTCTATTTGATTTTAGGTTAAAATTTCAGCCAAAGAATTGGAATTGCTGAAAGCCAATCAACAGGAAGCAGAAAATTCCTTAAATATAATTGAAAGTAACCAGCAAGAGTTGGAAAAGACATTAAAGCAGAAAGAATGGGAGATAAAAGATTTGAATGCCAGCCATCAAGTCAGGTAAATGATGACAATAATCAAAGTTGATTAGAGCATTTCTATATGAATCAATATTTGTTTCTTTATGCTACCATTTTTAAAAGTTCTTTAAGTGACAACAGTAATATCAATTAAATAATCTCTATATATCAATGTTTTTCAATCTTTTTTTTTATCTCACGACACACTTGAACCTGGATTTAAACTTCTGTGTAAAACTTGAATCGATAGTTAAACTTTTGTGGCAAACTTAAATTATTATGATCAAAAAAAAGAGAGAAAAAAAGAATATACTTTTTATAATTCATTTATTAACACAAACAAAACAATGTATTATAATTTGTAATAAAAAGATAATTAAAATTCTTAAAAAAAACATTTATTTTTCTGTTTATTATAATTTAACATTTAATGAGTTATCTTGAGCTTGAATATTTTTAGAATATCTTCTTTGCAAGGTTGAATTTTGGACAGGCAAACTCAAAAATCTTCTTCCAAGGATTTTAGATATAGTTGATTTTTGTTTTTAATATTGTTTATTACAGAGAATCTTGTTTTCTTCAAATATGATATTGAGACCAGAAGAAATATTTCTGTTGCTTTTTTTTTCTCATAATGTTTGGAAATTCAACTTTAAGGGATAATCAAAATGATGTAACATCTGTTATTTTAATTGCAATCCTGTAATTTCTTGCATCTGTTATCTCTTTCTCCTTTTTAATACTTAAATTTCCTGATATATTATACATGCTTAAAAAAATCGATTTCTTGCCAAAACAATCACTAGCACAAATCTTTTCAACCTTTTTTTTATCTCTCAGCACACTTAAATCTATAGTTGAACTTTCACAGCATATATAAATTATGATTATTAAAAAAAAAGAGCAAAAAAAAGGAATATGCTTTTTATGATTTATTTATTAACACAAACAAAACAATTTATTATAATTTGCAATAAAAATATAATAATTAAACTTCTTAAAATAATTTATGCAGGTTGACAATCCCATATCTGAACAGGTGAAAACTGAAAACCTGTGAAAATCAAATATTTTTAGTGTGGAGTTTGCAAAAAGCTTACTTAGTTGACCCATACCACTTATTTATGACATGGTAGCAGGTGTCATGATTGGCCTGACTCCACCCATCAATCCCCTAGCTTGGCTGAGTGACTTGAGCCCACCAAACATCAGTTGTTATCAAGTGCTTGTATTGGGTAGACATGAGTGTGCTGTTCACTGATTTTTCTTTCCGCAATTTTTGTGACTTTATACAGTGAAAATGTAAAGAAGAACTGGAGATATTTTTAGTTTATCATTTGATGCTATTCATTTTAAAGTTACACAAGGCATTTTTTGTCTGAAATAAATAAAATTTGTTCATTACTTATGGTCTTAATTATCCCTCTATTTCATTTATCAGTATATTACTCTATAAATAAACTGTAATAATATTTGTAATCTTTTTTTATCCCTCAAAAAGTGTGTATTTATACGTTTTTGCAGCAATATTATTTGAATTTCTGAAAACCCCAAAAATCGGCAAACCAAAAAATAACTGGCCCCAAGTATTTGGGATATGGGATTGTGTACTTGTATTTATTTATTTTTCTGTTTATTATAATTTAACATTTAATGAGATATCTGAGCTTGACGTTTTTTAAAATATCTTCTTTGTTTGATTGAGTTTTGGACAGGTAGACTCTTAAATCTTTTTCCAAGGATTCTAGCTGAGATTGATTTTTGTTTTCAATATCGTTTAGTGCAGAGAAGCTTGTTTTGCACAAATACGATGTTGAGAATAGAAGAAGTATTTCTGTTGCTTTTTTTCTCATAATGTTTGGAAATTCACGCTTAAGTGAGAACCAAAATGATGTAATATCTGTGGTTGAAGTTTTTGATTGCGATCCTCTCTTCCTCTTCTGTAATATTTAAATTTTTTGATGTATATGCACTTAAAACAAATGGATTTCTTACCCAATCCAGTGATCTTATGTCAAGGGTAGAGGCATGAAAATATTTTTCAAAATTTGTATACATCTAAAGTTTGTAAAATTTGTTCACTAAGAATTTTATCCAACTTACACCTTTTCACAAGTTCAAACATTTCCACTGCATTTTCTCTTTTAATCCTTTCCTTCCAGAGCAGACATTTTTCTCTGAAAACCTTAATTTTATCTGTAGATTTAAGACAATTTTCATAATTTCCTTGCATCTTCTTGATAAGATTCTTCAAACACTAAAATAAATCTTTAAGAAATGCAACTTTATTACACAAAACCTTACCACAAAGTGAAGTGTCTAATTTAGAATGTTGTATTTTTAAAAAGGTTGATACTTCTTTTAATTAATAAAATCTTATAGAACTCTTCCTTGAGATAACCATCTCACTTCCATATGCAATAAAAGCTTCATGTAAGAAGCAGCCATTGAGAAATATAATTCTTCAAATAATCCTGATTGCAATGGTCTGCTTGTAAATGTCTCTTTAATTTGCTAGGAACTGTAGCTCCATTTGCTAATGAACATCATGGATTTCCTTTTCTACATATGAAACTGAATGATAAATAATCTTTATTATATTGACGAATTATTGTTTTTCATTTGGTTGCTGATGTACTTGGATGAAGCAGTATTTGACACACTAGCTTTGTCTTTTAATTTTTGTTACTAAATTAAAACCATAGCCATTTTAATTCAAGTTGATAATATATTTGATTTTAGTTCAGAATGTTTAAATCTTAGAAACTTTTATAAAGCAATGATTTTAATTTTCTAGATGTTATAACTTCTAAATAGTTTCATAAACTGAAATGATATCAATATGAAAAACTAATATTTATTTTGATTGTTTTATTGTTATAATTCTGGTTATAAAATAATCTTTTTTTTTTCTATGGTTGTGTTGAAATTTGTGCCAATTTAGTTTGCAATAAATAGTAAAATAATGGTATTTCTTAAAGAATATTTTTATTGACAAACAAATGATAAGTTATTCTACTTTATTTAAAGAATTTGCAATAAGTTTGCTTCAAGTTATGTAAATGTTGTTGAAATATATCACAATTAAAAAATATTAAAGATGGGTGTGAATGAGTTGGAGGGTGGCTTAGTCTAGGGGGCATAATTTCATTAGCCTAGGGCAGTGTTTCTTAACCTTTTCAAACAACTGTACAGCTAGGAGAAAATGAAAATATCACTGCAGACTTAGCAAAAAAAGTGTATACATTTAAATGTTATGAAATAAAACCATAGATTTTAAAAATACACACACACACACTTACTTTATTTCAATGTTTCTATTCAACTACTAACACTGTACCGTTACTACTTCCAAACAAACACACACATATATGTATACCGTGACAAAATTTCATGGCATACTTAAGAGGATTGCACAGCACAGTAGTTGAGAATCACTGGCCTGGGGGCTCCAAAAGGTCATAATCCAGTGCTGTTGATAATGTTACACCTAATAAAATCAAATCAAATGATAAAACTTCTTATGTAGAATAATTCATTTTTTAATTGTCAGTTATGTGCCATGTGTGATACATACTTCGGCGATCATGTATCGAAAGATTACATGACTGACAAGGCGGATTTTTTTTTCCCTCAGTAGGTTGCCATTTCTTTCTGTGGTAGACCAGTTGCCATCTAAGGCTATAGAGCATGGTCTGTCCTGCTATTTACCCATAGCTGTGGGAAGAAGAAGAGGATTCATACCTTTCCTTTTCATGTAAGTGAATGTAATGTAATCGACTGGAATTTGAACTCGGCTCTCTGATTCCTCAATCTGAGCCACTATCTATTACTCCACTGTGTATTAATGTTCTGTAATCGGAGCTTTACTAAATTGATCTTTTTTAGATTTCATTTCTAATTTATTTCTTCAGGACTCTGATGGGATCTAGCAAAAGTCAACTATTTCTGCTTTACATATTCTGAGAACTATACTATATTAGCTTTATGAAGTTATATAATAATTGTTTTCCTTTTTTTTCTTTTTGAAGGCAGGCTGAGCTGGAAGCCCATGTTTCTGCTGTTAGCCGTAATAAAGACAAGATACAGGAAGACTTTCAGAAAAAGTAAATATTAATTAAATCTGATTCCTTTTCTTTATACCACTTTATCTTATTGTATCTAATGACACAGATTTAATGATACATAATTTTTTTTCTATAATGGCTACATTTTTAAAAGGAAGCAATAATTTAACTCAGATTATTGAATTTAGTTTAACAAATTGTCTTTTACATAATAGAATCTCAAACACATTGTTTCTGATCAGTACAAATGAAGTGATCTTTGAAAGCAGCTGACAAATTCAAAACCAATTAGTGCATTCCCCATTTCAAGGTGAACCATGAAAGACACTGAAAGGCCCCCAAAAGTCAGCATTCCTTGCCCTGCCTGCAATTGTATCTCTCTTCAATATCTCAGAGGCATTTGATAGGGTTTGGCATGCTGACCTTTTATGTAAGCTTCAAGGATATGGTATTACAGGATGATTATTTGATTTAATCCAATCATTCCTGTCAAACTGTGAAATGAAGGTCATCCTAAATGGGTTCTCCTCCAGTTCCTTTCATAGAAATGCTGGTGTTCCCCAAGGCTGGGTCTTACACTGCTTCTGATCTTGATCAATGATCTTCCTGATGTCATCAGTTCCCAAGTAGGCCTTTATGCAGATGACACTAGCATTTACTCCTGTCTCAATAGTAAATCTGGCAAAGTTAACCTGGCTGTTGGTCTCGAAAAAGACTTCCAATCTGTGTTTGACTGGGGCAGGAAATGGCTTGTAAATTTTAATGCCTACAAAAGAAAACTATTCTCATTTACCCACCATAAAGAAACCTCCCTGCCTTCTATAAGCATGGCTGATGCTCAACTTCACAAGAGTGTCTCTCTGCACCTTCTTGATCTCACGTTTTCCACTGACCTGAGGTGGAACAACTGTATTGAATCAATAGCTGCATCTATTGCAAGGAAAGTTGGTCCTCTGTGTTGTACCAGAAGGTTTTTCTTGTCTGAGTCTATCCTTCAAATCTACCATTCATCTTTGCATTGAATACTGTTGACATATATGGTCTAGTGCTGCCACTGTTCATCTCGAGGTTTTCGTCAAAATCCAAAGATGGATATGCAATGTGATAGGTCCTGACATGGCATCTCGGCTACAGTCGCTTTCTCACAGATGTGATGGGGCTTCCCTTGACTTTTCTACAAATATTTTCATGGAAACTGCTCTGACAAGCTATTTTCTGGTGCCTCAACCGCATGAATTTAAGCATGCTACTAGGTTGACATTTTGGTATCCACCCTTATACTGTCGAAACAGTTAAATGTATCTGCCTCTTCTATTCCAACAGCTTCTTCTCTCACACTTCCCAACAGTGGAACTCCCTTCCACTTGCTTCCTTGATAACTATAATCTTAAAAAATTTAAATGTAATGTCAATCAGCATCTTCTGGTGCCTTGATCTTGATCCCCAGCCTTCTCTTTATCCTTTCCTCAAACACCCCTCTTCACTCTTACTTTCACTATCTGTAACCCCTTGCGTACTAGTGGCACTCACACCTTGCTTGGGGTGAAATGCTTAAAAAAAAAGAAAAGAACAGGGCAAAAAATAATATTAAGCAAGTAAAACAATATATACAAGACAAAGCAACATTTATAAGGCAAAAAGTTCACAAACTAAGAGTGAATTTGGATAAACAAACATGGCATTTTCGCTTCAAGACAAGACAGACTGAGACTAAGTTAGATGAGACCGAGAAATGGCTTCTCTTATTGGTGAGGAAGAAATCCCAGCATGCATTTGTGTGGTTTTTGCCTATAAATTGGGGAGGAGGAAGCATTTTGAAGCCATTCCCATATGGAATTGGAACCAACAAAATTAAAAAAATATTTTTTTTATATTTGTGATCTGAAGTGAATAATCAATAGTAAAAGGAAAAAAGAATCTTGGAAAAAATGATTATTTCTTGGATGTTGGATCAATATAAACATGACATTAATTCTATAAGTAGTTGGAAGATTTCTGGAGAGAATTGAGGCATGCTATCCAGTTTTCTGGTATTTATAGGGGCATGATCGTGCATGTAAATAGATATCTCCACTATGTCCTATTGATGGTGAAACTGGGCTTCATCTCAAGCAAACATTGTGGCCACACCTTACATTGGGAGTCATCAGAACCTTCCTTAAATCTATTCTGGGCAACTTGAGCTTGATGATATATCCTGCTGAAATAACCTGTCATTATTGTTAGGGTACATGGAACCCATGAAAAAGTGCAAATGGTCACTAGTCAATTATGACTTTAGGCAGACTAGGGGACCCAAACCATGTCATATGAACACACTCCACTCCATTATGGAACCCACACAGTGCTTTGTTGACAACTGGGGGTCCATGGCTTTATGGGGTCTGTGCTGAACCCAAACTCTACCATCAGCCTCAAACAATTGGAACCATGAATTATTGGACCATAACATCAAACAACTGGAACCATGAATCATTAGACCATTTTTGCACATTGCCAGTCATCCAGGTCCAATTAGCAATGTCCCAGATCTAGGTTTGGTGCTATATCTAGTATCATGATGATAACAGGGCTACCCTAGTGGATCTTCTGCTCCCATATCCTACAGAAATAGTTTGAATGGTGTACTGATGTCATATATGGACAGGAGCTGCCCTGTTTTTGCTTTCCAGTCTCAATAAAGTTCAATAGTGTCTTCTTGTCTTTGTGTGGGACAAATTAATTTCCACCCTACAACATTCTCACAGATGAAACATTGCAAACCTCTCGCTGCTCTATTGCTATTCCCATGGAAAGTTTTAAAACAAACTACATTTATTCATTCCATCAGTTCTAACCTTCATGGTTAACTCACCATGCCATGCTGCATACAGATTATCAATAGGATTGCCTCTTAGTGGCATTTTAGCTTGTCTGTTCTTAGAGATTCTTGAATCTGGTCCTTTCCAAAGTAAGTTTCCTAAACAATCAACATATTTTTGATATACTGATGATGCTTTATTAATATATCTCTGTAAAACAAAATATATCATGTATATTATTGTTAGTTCCACCAGTCCTAATCTTCACAGCTATGATCCACCATATGATCCTCCCTCATTCCTTTTATATTCCATTGGGGAGATGTAAGTTACACTTGAGCATTTTTTTTCTATAAGCTGCTGCTTTGTGGAACCAACTCCCATTCACTACAGTCTTAACCTGTTCAAGGCTAGGATTAACAATTATTTTCCACACATATCTGCATAAACTGTACCTCTTACTCTGTAACCCTCCACTTTGAGTGGCTCTTGGGCCTTGTACAAGGCAAACATCATTGTAAAAAGAAACAAAAACCTAATTGAATCCTGATTTCCTCATACACTTTTTTTTTGTGTGTGTGTGTCAGTGTTTCAATTGAAAATAAATCTTCTTGTTATTTTGTAAATTTCTTCTACAGCGTGATAATGTAATTCAGAGTTGTGAACCAACACAACTTACAACACATTATCATTATGAATAAATTGTTAGTATTATCAAACATACATCATCAACATCTTACTATTTGCACATGAAAAAGCTTTAAATTTATTTTCATACCTAATTGTAATATTTTTGTGTAGTAATTTTTCTTATCATTCTTACATCATGTGAACATTTGAAAATCAATGAGAATCCTTTATCCAAAATTCTTGGGACTGGAAATACTTCAGTTTTCAGATTTTTTCATTTTGGAATACAGGCTATTTCATTTGTATATAGCATCTATAAAATGAGACAACTTGGAAATTGAACCCAAGCATAAACACGATATCCCTTTTGTTGTGGAGTCATTTCACAGTGGAGGCTTGTATTTGTACTAAGTCAGTCCTAAAATAGGTTCGACGTACAAAACGTTACGTTACACAGAGTAATCTAGTTGTGGTCGCTTATACTTCAGTATTCGACTAATTGTTGTCCGGCATCGACTCACTGACTCCCTCGTTACTCTTACTACTCCTACTTATTATAGGTGGGAGAGTCTATTAACTATAGAATAGGTGTGTTCCACTATAACACCTTTACATTTCATAACACAGCTTATACATATACCATCAAAGTATTTTTATATAAAATTTAATAAATTTTGTTTTATATTCAGATACAGGTGATGACACTAGTCATGTAATGCTCACATGGATTTGTAAGTGGTGAACTTAAGATTTCACATAAAAATAATGTTTTATATTTTCAGTACGTGTACAAAGGAACATGATCACTACTTACAAAAAATATATATAAATGCAGGACTTTTTGATATTCTGAATAATATCTTTACTGAGCACAAAACACCTGGTAAGTAATCCATGAACAAAGGTATTGCTGTGATGATCACTAACAAAAAACATAGTTGGGCTGGGGAACCCCTACCCAAGACAGATGAGGTCATGTACAACAACTAAGACCTTCCTAGTGATTTCTGAAATTTTCCATTTCTATCAAGTCATGTCAACACCAGAAAAAACTTTTGAATTTTGGATAAAGGATACTCAACCTGTATCAAGAAAAATATAAATATGACTTTTTACATTTTCATTATTTATGTTCAGATTAATGAATTCTGCATTTCTATTATTACAACATTTCGGCTGTTGTCTCCTTTGGCCATCTTCAGGTATCTGAACAAAGACAAAGAAGTATATGGAATGTCCCTAGACATGGACAGCATAATGAGAACAATCTAACTCATGTCTATTAAATAAAGAGTTCAGTTTGAAATTCCTCAAAGGTTACTCAGATCGACAGACAACTGAAGAAGGATGGGGAAAACAATGTCCAAAATGTGATAATAATGACAAAGATGATAATATTAGTCTGAATGTAGATAATGATAGCTCCTCGTGCCAGAAATTCAGACAGAAAGTGATCAGGTGATAACAACAAGGTTGAGGACAATAGTCTGAATGTAAATAATTTAGACAGAAGTGATTTTTGATATTTAAACATTTGAAGCTTTGTAATGTTATCAAAGTTTATTTTATTATTACTTTTCAGCAGCACCACATCATAAAAGAAAATTATTTTACATTATAATTACATTAATTTGTTATTATTGTTTTAACATCAGGTTCAACGAAATGGATGGCAATTTGCGACAAAAGGTCTGTGATATTGAAAAATTGCGTTCAGCTTTAGTTGAACAAGAAAAGGCTCACATTTTAGCCATCAGTGATCTTCAGTCTGAAAATGAAATGGTTGCATGTGAATTGGCAAATCTAAAAACAACACTGACAGAAAAGGAACATGAAAAGAATGCTGAGATGAAAAGGTAACTATTCTGAATGACTTTGCAATAATTAATAGAAAGAATTGCTTTAACATAGTGATTTAAAGACTCTATTTGATGGCATATAAAACATTTTTCTTTTTTCTTGAAATATTCATCCTTGTCTTACATATGATATTGAGGTATCTATGTTGGTTTCAATCACCATGGGAATGATTATTTATTATTTACTTTTTATAAAGAATTGTGGCACAAGCCTGAAGGGAAAGTAAGGAGAGTCTTGTCAACACATGCTATCCTAGACCTAGCTACTCAGATTCATGACCCATTCATCCATTACAATTTTCTCATTCACCACAACAACTCATCCATCACCATTCAATCTGACATGTACCACAATACCACATCTTCACAGGGAACCTACAAAATACCCATGACCAAATACAAATGACCTTTTTTTTAATCTTTTCAATTTTCTTGCAAAAATATCTAAAAATTTAAATACATGAAATGATGGAGGAGGGGATAAAAAACCCCCAAAAACTAAAATATAACACAACATTTAAACTAAAAAATCACCGTAGTAATTACTGCAAAACACTTGCCCCTCCCAAATTTATAGGCAGAAGCACACAAATGCATGCTAGGATTTTTTCCTAGCCAATAAAATAAGCCAGTTTGCATTTTCCTCTGACCAGGTCTAGGTCTGTCTTGTCTTGAAGTCAGAATGCTACGTTCACTTGTCTGAACTTGCTCTTCTGTGTCAACCCCAATTCTTAGTTTGTGAACTTTTTGCCATATTATTGTTGCTTTTGAAGTAGAATTGTTTGAGACGATAAGAATTATCTTAGCAGTAAGCTTTAACTAATTCTGCATAGCAGCAGAGTTCTTCTGATGAAATGTGGTCAGGATAGATCCATTAATGGAGGAAGTGGATCATATCACAGGTATGCCTTATTACTGTTAATTTGCCTTGCATATATTGTTTGCTTGCTTTACATTATTTTTTGCCATGTTTTTTTCTTTTTCTTGTAATTGTTTATTGCAACCTTTGTCAAATGTGTTGGGCAGTTATCACTCCACAAAGGATGAAAAATGCTTAAATTGTATATAGTCTAGGCTATAAACTGAAAGTGGTTAATTGTTATAGAATAGTAAGAGTGGTTACAGACAGACAGTAAGATTTATGAACAGGGGCACTTCATTCAGTACAAATGAAGAATAAAGAAAACAAAAATGCACCAATCCTAATTTAATATTCTCTACTGAAATGAGGATGTTTTATATGCCTGTGGCTGTTATGTTATCAAATACAGTTACTTTTTTCCCTCAATAGGAATAGATATGTTTGTTTATCACTTGGATCATGCACGTCCCCAGTCTTTTGAACAGGAGTAGAGGTTTATCCCTTGCTTCCTGTCTAGGATTGGGTTTCCAGGCTCCTTCTAAGGTCTACTTCAACTCTTATGCTTCTAACATCCCTACTTGAACTTTGAAATTTTATTTACTAATTTTTCCTTTCTTTCCTCAATAGGAGTATTGATTTTCTAAGCGAGGCTTAGATGTGGTGCATGGTCGAAAGTATGGAGCACCCAGTGAGGATCAAACTCACTATTTAGTTGTAACAGTTTTAGCAAGACCAGCTTACTAACCATTACACCACGCCAAGGCACCCTTCCTCAATAGGAGTAGATAGGTTTACACTCTCACACTAATTCACACTCCTCCCTATTCTTTTGAACAGGAGTATAGGTTTATTCCTTGTTTAGGATTAGGTTTTCAGTTCCTCTTTCACTCCTTGCATCTTAGTTGCATTATTGCCTTACTTGGGATGAATTGATTAAAAAAACAAAAAAACTAAGCAGAGTTTAAAAACAATGCATTCAAAATATATTTTAATGGTTGATCTGTCAGTTGCAAAACTAAAATTATCATAGAAATGGCATTTATTTTATAGTTGTAATTTTTCTTCTGTGTAGAATGTTACTTTTTCATTTTCTACCAATGTTTTATAATTAACTTTTTTTAACCACTTTGGAACATCTAAAAAAATATGTCATGGGAAATTCCTTTTTCCTTGAATGACTGATTCAAGGCTCAAGATTAATATCATCCTGTTATTCTGGGAGTGATAGAACATTTGTTTGGGACAATTGGTTAGTTTTTGGAGGACAATGCTGAGATGATGCAAAGTTTTAAATTAAAATTCTATTATATTTATTCTAAAAACAACTAATTTCTTAAAATAAAAAAAATTCTTACTTAGAGATGGGCTTTTAATAAATGGATGGTGAACACACAATCTCACAAAAAAAACTTTAATTGCTTCATTTTAAATGAAACCCAAATAAAGGTTGAAGAATTTAAGTTTACATGTTTGTATTATTTATCTCTAAATGTGAAAACAAAATTAGGACCTACTTGTAAGAACAAATTTTGATTTAATCAACAAAGAAAGAAATTATATTTTTTCTATCAAAAATTAATAGGAAAAATAATTTTCATGCTAAAAAACAACTTAAATGAACCATTAAACATTAGTTAAAAAAATTGACTGAGCCATTCAACATTGGTTATAAAAAGTGTGAATGAACCATTAAAAATTGGTTAAAAACTTGAATGAAACATAAAACATTGGATAAAAACTTGAATGAAGCATTAAACATTGGTACAAAAAATTGAATGAACCATTAAGAAGCCACATTTATGTGTTGTGTTTTCTGCTTTCCGTGAACTAAATTGAAAATACAAAGGAGAATTTTTAAAAGTAATATTTAGAAAATTTAGTCATGATGCAAGATAGGTATTTGTAAATGAAAATGTTTTGATAAAAAATAATTGGAATGAATTCTAATGTAAAATAAAAATTACTCTGAACATGAAAATTAATTAATGTTTCCATGTAAAATTATTCAAGGTGATTTAATTAGATATCTGTTATTTCTTCTACATGAAGGATTTATTGCATGTAAGAGATTTTTTTCTTTTTGTTTTTCACTTCTAATAAGTTTCTTTTCTTTTGGTTCAGGTTGGAAAAAGAATTAGAAAATGTCCACAATGAAATGGAATCTCAGAAAAAGAAGGCATCGCAGTCTTATGTTAGGCGAGAAATTGAAGTGCAAGAAATAAAGGAAGACAAAGTGAAAATGAATGTTTACATTCAGGAATTGAAAGACACAATTGAAAGGTAGAAAAATACTTTTAAGGAGGAGGATTTATTTTTATCCTTCTGCTGTGAAATATGTATTACCAAACATTGTCATATTCTGAGAGTGGGGAAGATATATTTTACCCTTAGTTGTCTAAGCCTCAATTTTTACCCCTTCCATTGACACTTATCTATAAACTGTAACAATGGCCACACTCTGGGGAGGGAAACACCCATTTTTACCCTTCCATTGACATCTATCTATAAACTGCAACAATGGACATGCCCTGGGGTGGGAAATTCCCATTTTTACCCTTCCATTGACACCTATCCATAGCCATATGATCATATCATTAATGACTTTATTTTCTCATCCATCAGAAACTGTCTTCCAAGCTTTACCTTCATTGAAGAAAAAGATCCAATAGAGGAATTCTATTGGTCTGCAAAGTCATACATGTCTGATGAGGACTCTCATACTGGATTATTTCAAACCTCATCAGGTGTACGACAAGGAAGAAATGAGAGCCCCAATTGATTCAATCTCATTTTAGGCTATGCTCTGTGCAGGGTTACAAGCAGATATGTGAAAAGATGGGCATTGATCATTTAAGCACTCCATGCCACATCCCAAACAAATACACTAAATGAAAACAGCATTTCTGTTTTCCATCCTGAGGTCAGTGTACTGATGATGGGAGGAAGTAGGTGGATAATGGGCTATGCTGATGACATCAGTATTCATAGTTGGCATAACAATTATCTTGAACAAAAATAATCAACATCCTCTACCAAGGGTTTCAAGAACTAAGACTCAGGGTAAACCCTGACCAGTCACAAGCTGTGGTGTGAGGGAGAATCCATTCTTATACTTACATTGTAAATAAAGTTTGTGACAATTGTTCCATGCTCAGTATCAGCTATGGCCACTGACACTTGACCACACGAGTTGACATATCCATCTTTACAGTAGTCAGTGCTAATTTGAACTGCCTGCACTCCTACATCATGTGACCAGCTTAGCTTATATAAGTGGTGTCCCATAAAACAAGTTTCATGAAACATCTTTCCCCTTTCAATTTTTTTTTAATAGGAATGAGCAAGAGGTGAGTGACTAAGGCATTCACTGGGTAGACTGCTTTTTTGCCTTACAGGATTTATTCTGTTTCTTCACTCAACTTTCTTTTTCTTTAGTCTTTTAACCTTGCTGGTGTTCTAACTATTCTTCCAGAATGCATTTTCCTCACTGAATCATTCTGATGAGATGCATTGTCTGGTTCTATATCTGGTGGAGGTGTTGAATTTGCTGCTTTGGACCAATTTTCTGAAGTGGTGCCTAGGTGATTGCCTTTAACTGAGTATAGCTGAATGCCCACGGATAGATTGCAGGGTGCCGCTGCTGTTTCCTTCAAGTCGATCCGGTTTCATTGACACAGCTCCCCATTGACATTGATCTGGCATGGCCTTGTATCCAGATTTTTTGCATTCCCTCTTTCCCTATGGGACTCTAGCCACCATCTGGAACTCCTTTTCATTCACACTGACCAGGCCCATTTTTTTGTATGGCCATTGAATCTAAGAGTAGATGCAAGTCATCCCTCACAATTCATAAAATTGGGGATTTTGTCAATTTTACATGGTACTCACCCAGGGGTTTCATTATTGTCCCATTCCATGAGGGTCTTGTCAGTGCTTCAGATTTCTTTCATGAACATGTTTGACACTTAACAAGTTCACTGAAGCTCTCCTATCAAGCTGAAACACAATTATCCCTTGTTCACTATAATTTTAACACAAATTGTCCCATGTGCAAAACTGACAGCTTTCCCCTCAGTCATGACCATATCCACATGCTCAAAGTCAGACTGATTACTGCTACTATCTCCACTCAGTTGATGTGTGTGTGTGTGTGCGCGCATGTGTGTGTGTGTGTGTGTGTGTGTGTGTGTGCACTGTCTGAACCAGTTTCTTCACTGATTTGCATTTTGCCACAATGTGCTTCTTGCCTTGGTACTTCAGACATGTTTTTCCATAAGCTGGACATTGTTCCTTCTCTGTTTCATTGCAAGAACTACAGAACTGGCACTCTTTTCTGGGTTTTGATTTTCTCCATGGACTCTTCTGTGTCTTCGTATTGACATTGTGTACTTGTTCCAGTCTTAAAACTCAAGACTTTTGCTCAGCATTCTCCATTAGTTTGCAGATATTAATGCACACCTGCAACTCTAACTCTCTCACTTTTAGCAGTTCTACTTGTGTTTGAGGATTCCATATACCCAAAACAATTTGGTCACATAATATCGATGTCACACAATCGTCACAAAAGTCACATGTTTTTATTAGCATCTGCAAAGCACTTATAAAACCTTCTCACTCTCAGACTCTTCTTATTTCCTCGTATGAAACACAAAATGTTTGTACATGACATTAGTTTCACCAACTGCATACTTGTTAAACACTTTAAGAATTTCTTCAGGTGCCTGCTGTTTATTGGGTGGGAGAAAATGAAGACAGTCATCACCCAATGTGTGGAGAAGTAACGCTGTTTGGTACTGTCATTGTTGACTATGTAAATATGTGATAATGGCATAGTTATTCCACTTCTGCTTGAACAGTTTCCAATATTCAGCTAAATTGTCATTCACACACAGGGACTGGGGTGGCCTTATGCTTGCTACTGGCTGCTGAGCATGTAGTTTGTTTCCAGTTGGGTTCGCCATCTTTTCCTAGACTCATGTGGTTGAAATTTTTACATTGTTCAGTTGTCACTGACTTAGTTGTCACTGACTTAGTGTAACCCTGTCAGCATATTCCATGTTCAGTATCACTTACAACACTCACCGACATTCGACCACATGAGTTGACATGTCTGTCTTTACAGTAGTCTGTGCTAATTCAAACTGCCCATACTCCAACATCATGTGACCAGCTTAGCCTATGTAAGCAGTGTCTCATAAAACAAGTTCCCTTGAAACAACAATCAATATATTTGTAAAATTGTAGTCAGTTTCTTCTAGCTTGAAGTAATTTCTGTAATTTGTTTCCTTCAGCCAATATAGTAGAGGTATAAACTTAAGTCAAACAATCCACCAATACTGAACATAACATGTGTCACCTGTTCATTAGAGCGGTCATATATCTTCTCTCTGTTGCATCTTTATGCACATTTTATAGCTTGATTAACAGTTAACATATGTTAAAAGAGACTCTCGCGAGAGTCTATCTGACTCTGAGGTATCAGTTTTAAATGTCTGCCTTGTGAAGCTGCCATTTTTCTTTTTGGATATTTTACATGTGAGACTTGTCTGAATTTGTTTTCATCTTGGAGGTGAACCATTTTCTCTAGTGCTACATTGACTATTTCAAAAAATGCATGCAATCCTGCACTTCTTTGCCCTCTGTGCCAGTTCACTACATACATTGACACATATCCGTAGCCCAGTAAACTCAAACAAGTGCTAAAATCTGAGGTAGTTGGAGAATTCATTTTTACCCTTCCACTGAAACATATCCATTGTCCAGTAAACCCCTAATCATTGTCACATTGTGGCACACATTGCTGGGAATGAGCTCAACCATTTGGTATATTTTCTATTATTTATTTGCTTTTCTATTTGTTACTATTTTCTCACCTAATGGGCATTTTTTCTTTATGGATTGTGAACATCTCTGAAGAAGGCTGTAAAACAAATCTTCTGAAACATTAGGATAACAAGGAAACATAAAGAATGTGTTTAATATTCCAAATTAGATGACTCATGGAAGATGAGGCACATTTTTGTTCTTTTTTCTCCTTGTAGATGTTTCTTCTGGCAAAAACATTTAAAATTCTTCAACACTTAACTATATAAACCAACCAATCAACACTTAACTATATAGACCAACCAATCAACACTATTAGATAGATTAAAAAATTTCCATCTAATTGAAAATAAGGAACTCTAACAACTCCTATGGCAATAGTGAAATTATCCATTTCCATAGAAGATTTTATAACTGACAATATATAAAAAGTAATTAGTAAAGCTGTTAAGTCAGTAAATGCCAAATGTTTCTTGTATGGAGAACAATTAATTACAATTAAAACAGCAGTTACCATTACCATAAGAGCTGCCAGATTTCAACTATTTTAAAAGTAAGATTTTATAAATTTCAAGTGACAATATATAAACAGTAAAGCTGTTAGGTTGCCAATTCTTAAAAAAGCTTTCAGCAAATTAGACTCTCAATTTCACTAAATGTTATAGCTCTTTCTATTAATGTTGCATATTAGAATATTTTTCTTTTTTTTTCCTCCTTGTAGATGTTTCTTCTGGCAAAAACATTTAAAATGCATCAACACTTAGCTATATAGATCAACCAATCACACTATAAGAAGATTAACAAATTTCCATCTAATTGAAAATAAGGATCTTTGGCAGCTCCTATGGTAATGATGAAATTAACTGTTTCCATACAGGCATAAGGGCTCTCTAGATGGAGGTAGTATGTTTGATATCTGGCATACTGCACCTTCAGGTGGATGGGCATCACTGGTCCTCAACTATCTCCTAAATCTCTCACATTCAAGTGTTGCCATGCCCCAGTGAACCATTCCAGCTGGTGGGCCAAACACGTGGCCATGTGTTTGAGACTAGGGTGAGCCACCTAGTTGGAGGACATCTAACCTGGAGAGGGATGGGCTCCGCCAGGTTAAAAGAGGTCCAAGACATACCACATGATAAGCACACCAAGAAAACATTTGCACAGACCCAGGCTCTGGTGCACAACTGCAACAGATGTAGGAGAAGGGGGTGCAGTTCAGCACATTGATGCCTAAATGACTTCTTCCAGGATTAACGGAGAAAAAAAATACAGAGAGTCTGGTTTACTACCTTACTCATTCTTTTCTCTATCAACTATTGTGAAATATTAATGATGATATTTTACTAAGATATTTGTTGGTGGGGAAAAAGCAAGGGAGAAATGGATTCATACCTTTTCCAAAGATATTAGTGCAAAGTGAACATAAGAAATCTCAGCTGTAATTTGAACTTAATATGCTGATTCCATTTTCAGTGTTGTTAACCATTACACCATCCTGTATCAAGTCAAATGACTTGCCAATAATTCAATTAATAATGTATATTATTATTATTGTAGCCATTAAAACAGATTCTTTTTTCTAAAACAAATAGCAATTAAAGAAAAACAATAATAATTACTGTGGTCAGTTATGTACCATGTGTGATAAACGCATAGGCGATCATATATCTTTCAATACATGACTGACAAGGCAGAGTTTTTTTCACACAGTAGGTTGCCATTTCTTTCTGTGGTAGGCCAGTTGACATCTAAGGCTATAGAACCCAGTCTGTCCTGCTATATACCCATAGTTGGGGGGGGAGAAGAAGAGGATTCATACCTTTCCCAAGTGTATTAGTATGTATATGAATATAATAGATTTGACTGGAATTCGAATTCTGCTCTCCGATTCCTCAATCTGAGCTGCTATTCATTATTCCACCATGTCTCCCTGTGCTTACTGTGTTGACAAACTGAAAAGAAAGAAAAAAAAAGAAAAACTAATTGGTTTCCATCCTTTAATCTCCAGGGATTAGCCATATGACTAAAACAGGAAAAATCAATAAGACAAGAGATACACATGTATCAATATATGTATATAAACATATCACAGGCAAATTTAGCTTTTAAGTTTGATTGTAATTTATCTGTGAAATTGTGATAAAAAGCAACAATAATAACATGGAGTAAAACTAGTAATTAAAAATTAGTAATAATGAAGAGTGTTGGGATTAAAAGCTAACAATAATAAGATGGTAAAAAACTAGTAATAAAATAATGAAATGTGTATCAATCCAGTGTATTATGATAAAAAGCAACAATAATAAGATGGAATAAAACTAGTAATAAAATAATAGTAACAATGAAGAGTGTATAGATCCAGAGGGTTGGGATAAAAAGCAACAATAATAAAATGGAATAAAACTAGTAATAAAATAATAGTAATAATGAAGAGTGTATTGATCCTGGATGTTAAGATAAAAAGCAACATAAGTAAAATTATAATAAATTTGATATTTCTATTGGATTCAATTTAATCACATGTAAAATATGTTTCTACTACAAATTTCTTTTGAATCCTGCATTGATTTATTTTTTTACATTTTTATTTTATTTGTGTGTGTGTGTGTGTGTGTGTGTCTCAGAATAAGCTCAATTGTTAACAGATTTAAATCCCTATTATTCATTGATAGTTCCTGACACTGTTCTCAACTCTCTTGAGTCAGTTTTCTCAAGGTTGACAAGTACATCATGTGGCTTAGTTATCAGTCTATCTTATTTGACTGTCATTGTCCCTAATAAACCTGCTTATGCCATTGAATTATTCATGGACAGGTATTTTTAAAAGGCTGTATAATCAACTTGTTCTTCAATAAACATTTTCTACCAGGAAAGTCAATCTAATTATGGTTAACCTATTATACACTTGAAGTACTTTAAGGTGCATATTAAGCAATATAATTAATTCTTGTCTGGAGTATTTGTGATAAAACCAGAATTGGGACACAATTTGCAAATTGGGCTCTATCACAAAGGTGTAAAATTTTGAATTAACTTTCTTCTCAATAAAAGTTCAGTTTATTTTAAAAGTAACCCCAAAAGTCACAAAGAGTAGGATTAAAAATCTAGTTATAATGGACTTTCAAAACAGCTCAATCTGGCAATATTACCTGAAAGTAAGTATTCTATAGTAAATAAATGTATGCTATTCTTTATGTAAATAAAAATGAAATATCTGTTTATTATTTTCATGGGACTCAGTTGTGATCAGGACACCCCCATAGTAAAGTGGATAATAAATGGTTTTATCTGAGCCTGAAGTAATTGATATTTTATGATTATTAGTAAAGTCTACAAGTGAGATCTTGAAAGCAACCACTACAAGTAGGGAAAAAGAAAATAGAATAAATAGATAAATAATTAAAAACTCTTGGGATCAAGTGCCACTCAGCTGGAAGGTAAGGAATTCTGGCTGTAGACCTATATAGTCAGATTGTATTCAAGAATTGCCTGTTAGAAAGCCAGGTGTCATCATGTAGAGAAGTCAGAGATGATAGGAGAGAGTTGACATTCAGAGTGATGTGAGAGAGGCAGTTTTAGCAATGTAGAGTCTGAGACAGACAGAATTCTTTCTGTCTGAAAGGAAAATTTGATCCATTAGTCTGTTTTGAGAAAAGACATAAGTAACAAAGATGTCCCAATTGTCACTTACTTACTCTATCAAATCATGCCAAGTGAATCCACAATTAATATATTGGAAATGAGTTTCATGCTTTCTTCTCTTACCCTGGTGTTATTTCCTCCACACTCCCATGTGAACATCCACCAGGCTTTCCATGATTTTTGTTTATACCAATACTAATGAGAATTGAAACACTTTATTAGATGAAGATGTCTAAAATGGCCAATGGTTCCAGTTATGTGTTTACAAGGGAATATATTAATTACTTTATAAAATAAACATGTTCTATCACTTAATATCTACTGGTCTGTTAATCAAACTGATGGCCTCTGTTGCAGTTTGTATATTGGCCCACAAAACAGATATTGAATGACAGAAGACAATAACATAAAGACTTGAGTAAAAAAAATATTACCAAGTTTATTTTTGTTAGAGAAAATACATTGATGAAAATAAGGTTACAGTGCACAAGGCAAAAAAAATATCTCTGCATGTTCATGTAGAGGGTGAAAAGTGTGTTATCCTAAGAAGGACAGTTCTGTAGTCCTTGCACCCTGAAAGGTAGCCATATGTGCCTCAAGTTAACAGAAGAGCAATTTATGAATTATTTTTATATTTAAAAATCTTTATTTATAAAAAAGCTAGACACTCCACATGGCACATGATTTTCATGTTTAAGTCAAGTCTTTGTCATTTATTATTTAAAACCGGATGTTAAATTTTTTCATCTTTAACCTTTACTACACTGCAGGCGACGATAATCATCATAGAATTCTCACTCTTTGTTACTCTAGGTGCATAATAAATACTTGTCAACTGTTATTTCTGGAATTTTAAGCTGGAAATCGCCTACTACTGCTTTGGAACAAGGTTAAACTTTTGTTTTCTAGCACCATTTTGAATTCTTCTACACTCTACACAAGGTGTAACATCGATTAAACCCACGTTAATTTTTTCGCGTTTTTTGTAAACAAAAATGGCCACGTCAATATCTGACAAAGCCTTTATTCAGGAGTTTTTCTTTGATTAGGACTCTGATGATGATTTTAAAGTCTTTACTCAAGTGGATATTATTGATGGTGAAGTGGTCAAAATGATAACCACACTAGTGACATGGAGGAAAGTGATGACAACCACTAACAGCTACTATCATCCGTATATCTGAAGGTGAATTATTTTGTCTATTTATAAACAACAAAATAATAACTTTATTCATCAATAAGACAAATAAATATGAGTCAGGTGAAAGAAAGAGCAAATAAATACTAGCGTTTTCTTGTATGTAAACATAAGGAAACACATCACTTTTTTGACAAAATGAAAGCCTTTTTTTTAGAGATTTTGCTTCTTGTTGCACCCCCAGAACTCCACAAGAACTACTAATAGTTCAAGTACGTTGAATTATTTATGTATTTTTTAATGTATTTGTTTTTTATTTCATGTTTCAATTTTTCTTTTTGTTCTCAACATTAAAACATACATGCAAAATTACATTAAAATATTATTCATTCATTCTTTTATTGTTGTACAAAAATTAAAATCTATATGTACAATACAAAGAAAGTTATAACAGTTTTAAAACAGTAGGTATTCATGTTTTTGCACCCTCAAAAAAAATGCAGTGGCAGAGGGAACAATTCTAGAAAGAAATTAGTGGGGTAAAGGTTAATAAGGAAGAGATAAACCTTTCCTCTTTCCTTTCCTCAAGCCATAACAAGCCTATCATTCAAAAAGTTACCAAAACACATAAAGTACAGTTTTCACACAAGCATACTTAAATATACAATGTAATGTCTTAAAAATAAATGCTTATTTCAGGAGATTTCTTTATTATTTTACTATTTTCAAATTTTATGACTAATTGTTCCTTATTAAAATTGAATGTGCACCGAAGAGTTTTAGTTATTCTACAAAAAAGAAGAAAGAATGTCATAATTAAGATGTTGACATTCTGCACTACTTCAAGCAAAAGCTTGGGAAGGAAACCCCTCATCACGACTGGAAAGAGCAATAACAATTACTAGACTTGGAGAACCTATTTTCCTGAAAAATTGTTTTAAGAGAAAGATTTTAAAAATTCTAACTGACATTATTTCTCGTTATCAACACCTGCTCACATCTGAGCATTGAGATCTTCATCCTCTATCCTTATTCACTTTCTCCCGTTTGGTGGCGGTGACAGAGATGACTGTGAAGACCCAGCATACTCCTGAAGAGTTGTGAGCATGTCACAGATCCTCCTCAGTTGGACTTAAAAGTCTTTGTCCCCACCTTGGATGGTCCTATGCCAGGAAAGCCAATTTGCATCAATGTTTTCACAGTTCTCAGGATCTCCCAGGGATATTTTCAATTGATCCTTGAAACATCATTTTAGGCCTCTCTGTAGCCTCTTGCTAAAGAGTTCTCACTCAATGAATGCTGAATATAAGGTAATGCCTAATATTACCATTACCATTTATCCACTAACCCATGTGTCCCAAAGTGGACCAGAGGGGAAACTACCTGAAATATTGTGACTGTAACAAAGACAATGAAAATACTAGTCTGAACCTATAAGTGTATAATATTTTCTTCGGTTTAAAAAACAGAAATGAATATTGCCTATTGTGCTATAATTTGTTTGTTTTTGTTAAGGTACCAGAAAGACCTGAATGCTGCTATTGAACGAGAGGCCCTTTTGGAACAGTCTAAATCTCAGCTCAATATTGACTGGCAAAAGCGATATGAGTCTGCCGAGAGAGAAGGTTTCCAGAAATCTGAGTCTTTAGTTCAAAAATTAACTAAAGCTAGAGATGAGGTAAAGTAATCATTTTCATTCAGTTAATCTAATATTTATACATATGTAGCTGTGTTTTTTTTTTTGTTGAGGCAGGTCTTGTCTGACAAAAGATTTGTCATATTGATTTAATGCAGGGTTTTACAATTCTCCTCCATAAAACAAGAAATATGCACTGATTGAGAAAGGAACTGATAAAATCTTTCAAGATCATCAGCTAAATATCACCACTATCACCAAAGATTTTTAACAAAAATAATGTTAAGATCAGCTATAGCTGCATTAGTAACTGTGATAAATCTATATCCCAACATAACAATATTATATTAAACAGTTACATGTCCAAAGGGTGAAATTTGAAATCCAGAACGCTGTATAAGCAGTGAAAAAACAAACAGTTGAAATATTTTAAATTCACAGAAACACATATACATACTCACAGACAACTTAATCCCTTGCAGATGGTCTCAGATAAGATTGAAAGTGCTTGGGAAAATAAAAACTATTCAAAAGAAAATTTTGGTATTTTTCTTGCTCATTTTTCTAAACCTACCAAAAAATTAATCCACAAACTTGAAATGATCACAACAAAAACTAATTGACATGTTATGTCTAAAATATTTAACCAAACCTGTTTGAATGAAAATTTGCTTCCTAAATATACACAATATATGTGTATGTGTGAGTGTATGTGTGTGTGTGTGTAAATATATAGGAAAATAGGAAAGAACTGTTAGGTTAATAATCCAAAGTTCTTTAATATTTTTGCTTTTATTTATGTATTTATATATATATATATATATATATATATATATATACACACACACACACACACATATATATGTATATATATATATATATATTTATATATATATATATATATGCTGGACTCTCCCACCATATTCAACATATGAGGGTCAAGCAACTCAGTTCCTAGGAACCTACAGCCAGTCACCTGCACATATGATTTGATTATAGTAGTGAAGGCTTTGTGCAGAATCAACCACACTTTATGAAGAGCTGAATACAGAGACCTGGTGCACTATGTACCACAAGGTCCCCAAATGACTCTCCACAGATTTTGAATTCAAAGTTGTCCTTTTTCTAGACCAGTTGCCATCCAAGGTTATAGAAACCAGTCTGTCCTGCTAATTACCCATAGCTGGAGGGAGAAGAAGAGGATTCATACCTTTCCCAAGGGTATTAGCACATAAGTGAATGTATTGGATTCAACTGGAATTTGAACTCAGCTCTTCGATCCCTCAATACGAACTGCTCCACCATACTTCCTCTCTCTCTATATATACACACACACACACACACACACACACACAATGTTGGCTCCTATAAGAAGCTCATCTGCCCTTTGACAGGTTTTGTTTTTTGTCCTACAGGGTGACATGCCACCCTCATAGGTAAAAAAAAGATCAACAGCAACAATCTTAAATTTTATCAGTGTATCACTGGATACAACCGGTTTGTACTGGCCACTAAAATTACAGAATTTCATTGAATCTTTTCCTGGATTATTATAGAAATTAAATTTTTCTTTATTCCTTATCAATTTCAGCAATTTTTCAGCTCAAATCAGTTGTTTTCTCAAATTAGGTTAGCTCAGGTTACATGGACTAACCTAAAAGAAAACTAAAAAGATTTTTAATGTAGATGCTGTATTTTTAACTTATTTAATTTTATTTATATTATTTTTGTACTAAAACAATATGAAAATATTTGATAAATTATTAGTTATATATTTTTCTTAGTAATACCACAAAAATTTATGAATGATGTCTAATGCAAGAAGAGGAGCATCTTAATAATTATGAGTGAGGGTCAGAATTTTCTCAATATGCAATAAACATGGGTGCTTAATAAGGTGTGGGTGGACAGAAAATCATTTAAATTCAAGTAAAAAGATTTTGTTTTTAAATATTAAGTTTCCAACATTTCCAAATATATAAATAATTTTCAAAACCTAATAAATTAGTAAGATAAAATTGTTGACTATTGTATGACACTGTCTTTTATCTCATAAACAAAACATATCAAATTCATTGTTTGAATTTTGTTAGACCCAGTATTTTAGTCATTGTTACACAGGGCGGGGGCATAGAGAGATAAGGGAAAGGCTACTTACCTAACAAGCTTGTGTGAATGGATTGGGAACAAGAGGAGGGTGCACTTGCCTTAGAAAAGGGGAGAAAACCTGCTAAGAGTTACATGAAATAGGAAGTTCTGGATAACCATGATTGCCTATGTACAGAAAGGATTTAGCACATAGAAAATGATGTGTTTGATATTGAACAAAGATGTTAATAACTTGTGGGAGATTATTAAATGTAAAGGAGAAAAAGATGAATTTGGAATTTCATAAGCAAAGCCCAGGAAATTTTAAAATGATTCCAAGTTATGCACAGAGGGCATGAAGAAAAATCCTAAGAACACAGAGATACAAGCATCGGACATAATGCACATTTGACAAGATACGCATTTCCCTCAGAAAAAGATTTGATGATATTCTAGAAAAAAAATGCACATGAGAGGAAGGCCAGGGAGTTACACAGACAATCCAGAAAAATGTTCATGAGAAAAGATCCAGAAAAAATGTTCATGAGAGGAAGGCCAGGAGTTACACAGACAATCCAGAAAAAATGTTCATGAGAGAAAAAATCCAGAAAAAAATGTTCATGAGAGGAAGGCCAGGAGTTACACAGACAATCCAGAAAAAATGTTCATGAGAGGAAGGCCAGGAGTTACACAGACAATCCAGAAAAAATGTTCATGAGAGGAAGGCCAGGAGTTACACAGACAATCCAGAAAAAATGTTAATGAGAGGAAAGCCAGGAGTTAGGCAGACAAAATTTAAAAAAAAAAACTAAAAAAAACTTTTATCTGTTTGAATTTCTTTCATGAGCAGTTATTATTATTATTTACATTACCTCTGAAGGGCACAATGATCAAAACATTATGATAATAACAACAAAGATGAGGACAATTCTATAAATTTAAATATCAGAAATTATAATGGTAATACTGATGGGAGTTTCCTTCCTAACTTTTTGTTTGAAGTTGTGGGGAATGTCAATATCTTGTGTCATTATTTTCTCTTCAATTTATATTTCTTGACAATGGTAATGTTAATTTTAGTTGTTTCCTTATAAAGCAATATTTGACATTTATTGACTGAGCAGCCAGTACTGCTTTCAGCTTAAAATTTATAAAATCCTTCTCTTAAAACAATTTTTCAAGAAAATAGGTTTTTCAAGTCAAAAAAAGCTGTTATCGCTCTTTCCAGTACTGATGGAGGCTTCCTTTCTAACCTTTTATTTAAAGTAGTAACATTGTTTTAAGTAATTTAATTAATCTAATTGAAATCAATCCAAACCAGCCATATACAATAATCACATCAATTTATCCAAGTCACTGGATTAAGTTTTATGATTCTATAATTTAATGATTTTAATTGTTTTTAATTAATTTTTTTGTGGCATCTGTTGGTCTTGAGAAACCATATAAGATCTATGCTCTCTCCAGGGTGCAGCCTGAGCAGTGTTTTTTATGAGAGGTCGGCAATTGTCCATGCAGCATATCTCTGCTCTCCATGCATCAATGTTGTCCAAAAGAATTGCAGAGGCCAATGCAATTTGGCACCAGCTTCGTCACAGGAGTTGACAGAGTGAAATTGAACATGACATCAGACAGTCTTAGGGACTCTAGCTATGGATTTAAATTCAGAGTTGTCCTTCTCTTAGTCTGATTGACAACCATGGCTACAGAGCTCAGACTGCCCTATTATTTACCCATAGTTGGAGGTCTTGAAGTCATAATTTTTTCTTCTAGACTGGTTTCCACCCAAGGTTATAGAACTCAGTCTGTCCTATTTACCCATAGCTGTGGGGAGGAGAGAAGGATTCATATCTTTCCCAAGGTTATTAGCACATAAGTGAATGTAATAAACTCGACTAGAATTTGAATGTAGCTTTCTGATTCCTCAATCTCAGCTGTAATTCATTACCTCACTGTGTCTCCCACTGCAATACTTGTTACTTTTATTCTTTAAAATTTTACATTTTAGATAATGACTTTTATAGTTGTTAATTTATTTTGAAAAGTTGATCTTTTTCTAGCAACAAAAGCATATATGAACTTTGATTTCACTATATCAATTAGGTGCCATGTCCCTGTAGGACATAGGTGATCATAGTTCTCCACAGCTTCTTGTCCTTTGTAGTTTTTAATAATGTTCTCTTTTCATCTCTCTCAGTTTCTATCCATTCACTGTACCAATACTTCATCCATTTTTTTTTTATTGAAATCTACTTAGAGAGCAGTGATTAGTCCATGTTTTTGAAATCCTTGATAGTGTGTTCAGTTTCTACTGATGTGAGTTGAAGATGATAAATTGACTTGTTTTTATCACAGTACAAGGAAGTTGATAAATTGACTAACATCTTGTGGGAAAAATGAAATAAAATAGTAATAATGAATAATAAAAAAAAGAAATACATTTTATCATAACATTAGTAATAAAGGAACTGGAAATTTTATTAACACTCGTTAGGTGGCACTGTTTTAAGACTATAAAAAGACAAACATTTCCTCTCTCTCTCACTCCAAGATGAAACAGATGTGTAAAAAAAGACCTCTTTTCTGGGACATGTTTGTTTCTCCAATCCGCTGATAAGTGAACTCTCACTTCACTTCACAATGCATTTCATTTGCATGTGTCTTCCAAAACCTCCACTTATGAAGTTAATCAACCCTTTCTTTGACTGTTCCAACTCAGTGCAAGGCTGATTTGAGCTCAACCATTATAACTATACTTAATCCCTCCAACGATGAAGTAAGTACAAACTTTTTTTTGGTCATTGCAACTCTGCACAAGGCTGACTAGTGTTCAACCAATATAATGATGCTTATCCTTACTTACTCTAACTTTTGGACCAGAAAAAGAATACCCAAGCGACAAAGAGAATATTCTTTCCCTACAGGTTCAACTATAAAAAAGAGACTATATGGGTCGTATAAACTCAAGTTTTGTACGCTTCGTCTTTACATTGTTTACATGTGAACATGCACCCCACCTAGAAGATACCAACACACAAATTTTAAATGTCATAATATCTTGTTTTTATCACAGTACATAAAAACATAACTGATGCTACAGACTGATTTTATTTACATTATAAGATTTATTTGAGTCATTATCTATCCTTTATTTTAGGCCTTAGCAACTGTGAAAGAGCAAAAACGTATATTGGATCACCGAGGTAAGAGTCTTCGAATCATGGAACTTGAAAAAAACAAAGCTTATGAAATTTTGTCTTCATATAACATTGAGATTCCAGAACAAGACAAGGTAAGACATTTGGAACTATTGATATATTACTTCAAATGTTATTATTAGTGGATACTCGTATTTTAAATAGAAGCCCCATTTTTATTTTGAATAGTGAGTATTACGTTGTTCAGGCTATGTATTCAAGAAATCTTAATAAAGAAAATATTCTCTTGTAGGAGAAACTACTATTTGATTTGATGTGCTTTACTATTTGGTTACAGATTGCATCACAGCTTCTGTAATGCAATGGAAACTAAAGAAGACCACAATAATACCTAAACTGCAATACGACAGACTCCTGAATTATCCAAGTTGCAAAGTTGTATGTAGACAGAGTTAAAAACAAATATAACTTGAATGAGAATACAAATTCAAAGTGGAACGTGTTGAGAGAAGCATTAGTGATGTCAGCAAATGAGACCATCCCAAAGGTAAGGAGACAGGAAAAGAAAGAGTAGATGACAGATGAGATTCTAAAGATGACTAAAAAGTGACAACAAACATTGCCAAGGAATGGAAAAGAGTACAGATCATTAAACACAGAAACTAGAAGCAAATATAAGTAAGCTAAAGAGAAATGACTCAATGAAAAGTTCATAGAAAGAGAAAGGATGAGCAACATGGATAAAGCATGTATGCATAAAAGAATTAACGGGACAAAAAATGATCTCATCAACAGAATGCATAACGTCAAAAGAAAGATCACTGATAATAGAAATAATACTCCAAAGATAGAGTGTCTACATCAGACATGAGAGAGAGAAACTGAAAATACACAAAAATAATGAAGAGCTGGAAATATTAATGTTGGAAGTAAAATTGGCATTGAACAAGATGAACATGAAAAACAGCAAGATCAGGTGGGATCGTAATGCTCTCAGCGTTAGACAATTTTGGCATTGATAAGATCACAGTAATAAATAAAATATATGACAGTGGCTATATATCAGAGGACCTCAGTAGATCCATCTTCTTAGCATTACCTAAGAAAGGAGGTGCAAATGAATGTGAGCTCCCTTGGACAATCAGCTTAATGAGCCATATAACCAAACTCATGATCCAAATCCTGATGAATAGAGCACAAAACAGAATTAGACCAGAAATAGGATAAGAACAGTGCAGCTTTGTTAAGGACACTAGAACAAGAAATGCAATATTTATGATGTTGGAGAGAGCAATACAAATGCAGAAGTACATGCACTTTATTTATAATTTATTTATGTTTATGGATTGCACAAAAACATTTGACAAGGTACAGCACAAGGATCTATTTGAACTGTTAGGAAACAGAGCTATTTGGAAAGGATATCAGAATAATCCCAAACTTATACTGGGAGCAAACTGCCTTCATATGGATAAAGAATGAATTGAGTAGGTACACAAAATTAGAAAGGGGTATAAGACAAGGAAGGGTATACAAGGGTATCGTAAGGGAGCTGGTGACCCTATTAGGGTTTATTATTGGGTTATGTAATCTTAACAATATAAGATAAGCAGATGACACTGTCTTGATATAAGTTATAGAAAGAAAACTACAGGACCTCCTAGACAAGGTAGTAAAGGAAAGCAAGAAAAAGGGACTATCAACTGTAAGAAAGCAAAAAGTATGTTTGACAAGAAGAGAAAATGTCTAAGATGTGAATTATGAATACGAGATATCAATATCAAACAAGCACAGAAGTTTAAATATCTAGGAAGTGTTTTAACAGATAAAAAAAAAATGTGACACTGAAATTCAAACACACATTGGATTAGCAAAAGATGCCTGCCAAAAGCTAAACAAAGCGATAAAAAACAGGAAAATTTTATTAGAAACAAAGAAAAGAGTGTTGAATTGCTATGTGGTATCAATTCTCTTGTATGGCAGTAAATACTGAACAATCTCCTCACAGATGACGAGAAAACAGGATGCAACAGAAATGTGGTTCACTGAGAATTCCATGGATGGAGTGAGTAAGTAACAAGAAAGTCTTAAAGAAAATGCTAACAAAAAGAATACTTATATTTAGAAAGAGATAGTTGAAATTTCTTGGACATAATGAGGAAAAAGGGCTTGAAAAACTCAACCCTCACAGGGCATATCAATGGCAAGAGAGATATACCTACCTGATGACATTTGTGAATGGATGCTGAGGTAATAGGCTTTGCAAAGGTAGAAATGCTGTTAAGGGCTACAAGGGATAGGAAGATGTGGAGAACCATGATTGCCCATGTCCTGAAGAAACATAACATATAGAAGAAGAAGTGACCTGTTAGCTAAGTTCAAGAATCATCTGACGTGTATGGATTTTGCCTTGGATTTTAATTTGCAATTTTTGACCCTTGGACATCATATGCCATTTCATTTTTATTTTACTCTTGACATGTTGAACATAGGCCACATTTCTGCTGCAATATATGAACAATGAAATCCAATTAATATTCTTATTTATTTTTCAAGATTTTATCTTTTTGCTAGATATGTCTTGAGCCTGTAGCTAGATATTATGATATTTTGTATATCAGTCATGAACCATGTCATTTTTTAATTGAAAATTTTTAATTTTTCCTATTCAATTATAATATAAGAATCATTTATAACTCTTTTGGCATTTTATTCTTTAAATTAAATGATTTTTTATTTTGTATTGAACTTTCTAAAAATATTTTAAAGTGAAATTAAATGTTGTGACTTAATTTTTAATATTATCATGAGAAAAGATAATTTAAAACATTTCAAAATGGTCAAGAATTAGTAAAACGAACCATTTACGAGATTACCATATGTCAAGATGCATAAATCATTCCCCTCTTTTTTTCATAAAAAATATTTAAAAAAATATTCCCACTCATCTTATGTGAATTTGCAGTATCTCGTTGACAAGTGACACAAGGGAAATAATCTAGAGAGAATTAACTGATTTATCTCTTAAGCATAGAAAGCATAAAGGAAACAACCTACTCCATGGATTAAATAAAGTGTTAGTATAACAACCAAGATGAACATTCTGGTTAAGATAGAAAGGCATATAATAAAGAAATAGAAGTTGAAAAATTAATAATAACATTAAAAATATTTTATTAAAATTATTCTCAGAGTGCTCAGATGAGTGGATTAAGATAAATAATAAAGAGAAAGTGTAATAGAGAAAGTTATTTTTTTACCTAGCCAATATAGACTGTCAATATTTGTATGTAGCCTAACACCATAATAATATCCTATCAAATACAGTATGTAAGTTTATTATAAAAGTTTACTGTTTACTATTTTAAGTTGTATATAATATTTGGTAAACTTGGACCTTCAAAAAAATGGAGTGTCAAAAGGTCAGTTTTCCCATTGACATTAATATTATCTTAACTACCTTTACTCCTTGGCAGTGTTTATTGTTTTAAAAAGCGATGATTAGAATTGTAATAAATCCTAAACATATAATGAAATTGTTTTTTATACATTTTCTTTGATCTTGAGAATTTACAACAAAAATAATAAACACTATTTACTTATTTATTAGTTTGTTTATTTACACTATTTATTATATTGTTTATTGGAATGGCTGGCAAATCAGTGACTAATTAGTGCTCAATTCTAACTTTATAAAAGAGTAAATTATAAGGATTTACTTATAGTTGGTTCACATATTTTAAAATTTACTCAATGTTTATAAATTTATGAATAAAAATTTCATATTTATTTCTTAATAAATTGGTAATTGATAAATATTGCATTGCATTAGTTTTAATTGTATTAGTTTTTAGAATGTTGTAAAATATAAAATTATTTTTGTAAATAAACAATCTAATAAATAAATTGTTTAATAATTTGGTTGTAAATTCTCAAGAAGAAAAAAAATGTATAAATTCACATTCATAATACATTTAGATTTGATTACAATTCATCACTTTTTAAAGCAACAAATATTGCCAAGGATGGAAGATACTTAGAATAATAGTGGTGTCAATAGAAAAAGCTTCCTTTTGACACTCCATTTTTTTTTCAGGCATGAAAGTCCAAGTTGGACAAATATTTCTTTTTTTATTTACTGGATTAGTACTGATTAGTGACTTAGTCTTTCTTTTACTGTTCCTGAGTAATGTTATCAACTGCAATACTTTTTTTGTTCTCATAGCTGTCATCTGGTAATTTGGAAGTAAATTCTGATTTGACAGAGGAACTATTTTCATTACGGGAGCAGAACACCAACTTACGTTCAGTGATAAAAGAAATGCGGCAACAAATGTCGGAAATTGAGAAAACACAGCAAGTTTCACCTAAAAGAAATGCTGAGACACATAACACTGTAAAAAAGACGCTCAGTGTTTCAGAAGGTAATGATTTTACTTGTCTACATTATCTCATAGGTGTAAGATTTGCACATCTAATGTTACATTATTGTTTAATGTATACTCCCTTTGCATTACAGTTTAATGTATGCTCCCTAATCGACATGAAGGAATGTGATTCTCTCTCCCTGATATATCCTTTTTCTCCCTAACCCCTTTTTATTCCTTTTTTGTTCTGGTGCCTAATAAATGCCAGTAATGTTTTGTCGGCTGCTTCTCAAATATGAGTCTGTCCTGTTTTCTATAAATTAATGTAACACACAGTGTATTAAGTGCAGTACAACTTACAGCATTGGAAATTATTTGCATTTTGAGTGTATTAACAGTTTAAAACCACATCTTTATTTTCGTCAGGAAAAATAATCCTGTCTAAAGTCTGTTTATTGTAAACAGAATAATGTTCAGTAGATTGATGCAAAAGTTTGCAAGATTTTTTGACAAAATTTTTCCTTTATATAAATTCATAGCATCATTATTCAGTTTATGGCCTGATGCCACCATTCACCTAAATTTTTCTTTCCTATCATAAAAAAAAATATTATGGTTTTGATTTGAAGAATTTTTTGAGAAATTTTTCAATATCTTGAAATTGTTGTAACCAGACATAGAACAAATTTCCTGTGTCTCATTTGTAATATCAGGATAGGCATTATCATTTAATAAAATTACAGGTCAACTTACCCAGAGAAAGAGCTTTTCTCTTCCAATACGTCATTCAAATAAGCTACTTGTTCACTAACAGTTTGTGTCAATTGCAGCAATTCATGATCAAGAATTCCTTTTAAATCCCAACAAACAGAAATAATAACTGCAACTAAAACAGCAAAAAAACATAACTAAAAGTTTACATTAACATAAAGGGGTAATACCAGAAAGTAAATAAATTAACAAAAAAGAAAACTGGTGTATCGTGCCTCTCTCATCCAGATTGAACCAAGGACAAGAAATGTGCACAGTGACTAAAATCAACAATGCCAAAGACAAGATGTTATATAATAAATATATAAACATGAAATGCTAATTATACTGAAACCTAACAGCAAGTCTTTCTGCTTACAGAGAGATGGATGGAAGGACTTAATATAAATTGATTCTAAAACCTTAAAGTGGAAATCAGAGTGATCTCCACTATATTAGTTCTATAATTTATCATTTTAAATGTCAGTATGATGCTGACTACATAAGTGGAATGGGTCAAAGGTTGGAAGTAAAGATTAATCAGCACATACCAATATTTGGAAAGGCAATTTGGACAATTTGCATAAGTTCATTAACACATCTGGGTCAGCAATAGCTGAGAATTTATTAAATAACTATCAATGTGTCCAGTCCAAGATGATAATGATAATGATTGGTAATGAGGGACGGTCACTCTATTAAATTTTGCAACATTTTTAAATTATTTGTCAAACTTGAACCGTTGTGCTTGCAAAAAAATGCAGTGTCAAAATGATGTTTTTTTTTCATTGACACCTCTATTATTTTAACTACCTTCACTCCTTGGCAAAAAGGCTATTAAAATTATATTCCAACAGTATATAAAAGTTATTGATCATAACAAATACTTTAGATTTATCATTTTATTATAAAAACATTTGAACATCTAAATCTTAGAAATAATTCATCACCTCAGAAATCAACCCTATGTAAAAATAAAGTTGCTTATGAATTTTTGTCCTTTGGGAGATTGTATCCCCAACATTAACAAACAACATTAAATTCTTACATTGGCCACATGTCCATCACACTCACTCTTAGGTTGAACTGTCATTGTCAAAATTTAGTGCAATTCACAAACATTTCGATCACTGTATCACAAATAACCAAAATACTTTAAATAAAGCAAATTTTAGTAGATAACACCAAAATATTATATTCGACTCAATGCAAAGAAAGACTCAAAATTCTCGAAGCAATGTAATACAAGAGAATCAGCCAACATTAAGTAAGGTATCTTTCTCCATAGATATCACATATTGAAGTGTGTGTATATAAAAAATTAATGATGTCACTTAGAATGACTTGAAATTGATTCCAGCAAGCACTCCACCACAATTAGCCAAAAACAGTTTTAAAAACAAACACAGTCATTGAAAACAAATGTAACAACATTTGAAAGTACCCAGGGAAAAATAGACAAAGAATAAAAATTAACTTTGGTAAATTTACTGATTATATAAAACAACTAATTCTGAAATTTATAAAAATTGGATAGACAGAACATGTCTATATGTCTGTGTTGCTATTGAAAGAATTCTTTCTGTCTAAATACACCTCATGTAAAATATATATATATATATATATATATATATATATATATATGTGTGTCAAGTTCTGCATGAGTGACTTATGCATTTGTGCCATTTAATGTATACAAAAATACATGAACACATGCATATACATAATTTGATTAAGTTTGAAATAAGATATTGGAATAATATATTCCACTCCCACTTAGTCTGGACAACACTTACATTGGGCTGAGCAGTAAAATCATAAAGTTGGAGACATTTTTTTATCCCTAAAAACATTAGATAATTATAAGATTGAACTATTTGGAAATTATTTGGTAATACATATATGTATATTTCTGCATACAAGATGACCTTTAAATACCCAAAATCACCATTAAAAATTGGAGGTCGTCTTATACTACAGTTCTAAAAAAAATCTGACTGATGTTTGTTGGTAGGCTAACCTTGGCCTCTGTGCAATAGCCAATAACATACATGAAAAGATTCACATTATCAAATAAACTGATAATAAAACCAATTCTACCTTATATATTACTGGCATAATTTTGTAATAAATTGCTTATTTGAAGCAATGAAATTACCTTGTATCCATGCAAGCTCAGCTGAGAAATTGTAAACATTGAGTTATGATTGTATTCACAGCAACCTTTATCTTTTAAATTTTCAATAATCATCATGGTAGTGTTAATTATGGCAGTAATAACATTTAGGATAACATAATATTCAAAAGAATATTGTAAATGGAATGTACTATTATCAAACATTATTGTACTGTTATTAGTGATATTTTGTGATTGTCAATGAAGTATAAGTAAATGGCCATTAGTACACTAGGCTGTTTGTAACTTTAAATATAGGAAAAGAAGAGAAAGAAAAAGAAGAATCAGTATTCACAAGAGATCACTTGATGAAATGTAAATAAAACAATGGTTTCCCTTTTAGGAGACATATGTAGGAAAAATAAACATGATCTCGAATTAGTTTTGTTATTTTGTTTATTTTGAATTTCTAAGGATACAATAAGTAATAGCATTTCCAATAACATCATCTTTATATAATCAATAAGCAGTCATCTTATACTACAGCTATAGGATAAATTCATGAAAATTTGCTACATTTTTTGACCTTGTCTTATCTAAAGGTTGCCTTATACATGGGAATATATGGTATTTAACTTTTTTTAATTTTGTAGAAATTTTTCAAGTTTGTCATTGAATTAAGATTTACATAGGTATCTTTCAATACATGACTGATGAGGCAGTTTTTTCTTGCAGTAGGTTCCAGTCAATCCATTACATTCACTTACCTGCTAATACTCTTGGGAAAGATATGAATCCTCTTCTTCTCCCCCCAGCTATGGGTAAATAGCAGGACAGGCCAGGTTCTATAGCCTTGGATGGCAACTGGTCTACCACAGAAAGAAAATGGCAACCTACTGAGGGAAAATAACCTGCCTCGTCATTCATGTATTGAAAGATATATGATTGCCTAAGCGTGTATCACACATGGCAGATGAATGACTGATATGCATGCACAATGTGAATGGATGTATCACAATGAGTAATTTGCATTTCTGTCTGGCAACAGCCCTGGGGGAACAGGAAAAGAGTATAAGCCAAAATATGTGGCCCTTTGAAGTCATTGTTATGTTGTCTCTTTCATACATAATTCTAATAAATATCATATTTTAAATGGACAAACAATTTAGATTTGAAATTTGATAATCTTGCATTGAGAAGTAATAGGTACTAAACTATAATGTAAAAATTTATGTTAGGTTGACACTAAATTTGGTTGAAATTAGTCCTGGATTTGTCTTAAGTTTACCCTAAAATTTTTATTACTAGCATTGTTTGTGGACAGAAAATCTGTTTCATCTTGGTCCTTCTTTACTGTCGGTACCAACCTGAGTGGGAATGACTGCAAAAACATCCCCCTCCCCAAATTTATAGACAAAACACACAAATGCATGCTGGGATTTCTTCCTGGCCAATAAGATAAGCCACTTCTCAGACACATCAGACTTGGTACTGTTCTTTCTTGTCTTGAAGTCAGAATGTTGCAATTGCTTGTTTGTATCCCCTTTTTGTATGTTAACACAATTCTTACTTGCCCTTTTCTTTTCTTTCTTTTGTTATTGTTTATTGCAAACTTTATCAATTTTCGTTGTTGGACATTTCTGCCAATTACATTTAACTAAAACCAATTACCCAACACTCTGTTTTGATAACTGCATGTTTCTTTTTTTGTTTTATCTTTTATTTTTTAAAAGTTCCAAATTCCATTTATGTTAAGTTATGCGATTCTATTTTGTTTTTGATATTATCTCTTATTTGCAGATAGTCAATAGTCTCTGTAAAACAATTCCACTTGTAAAGCACATGTTTGCAAGCCAGCATTATATCAAGATGGGATGAGTGCAAAAGAGTGTTTGCTATAAAAGCAAATTCTATGTCAGCCTCAACTTGTAAAACATTAGCTTCAGATAAAAATAGGTTTTGGTTTGGTTGTCTGCTCTGCGACTTGACAGATGAACATACTAATGAGTCATCACAGACACACACTAATAATATATATATATATATATATATATATATATATATATGTATTTTAACATATCTAACACACTAATTCATTTATTTTGTAATCTAACATATTTTTTATTACCCCAAACATTGTTTTAGTGGATACCCATATTTGAGTAGACGCGCCGTTTATTTTAAACAGTAT